GATACAAAGCACATTCAAGCAAAAAAAAGAGACATTTCAAACATCAGATAAAGTTGTCTATGGAGCAACTTGATACAGCCCAATGTGCGGCATGACTTGTTACAAGTCAAATTACAAGTAGTGATTTTTATAACTACGTTACTCGAGCGTTTTCGGCTTCCAAGTCGTGATTTATGAAATGAGTTGCTCGGGAGAGCTCGGTTTCGACGTAGTGATTTTTGTAAATGCGTTTTTCGGGCGAGGTCGGTCGGTCATCATGTAACGGTTTTTTAATTAAACGCCCAATTTTTAAGCTGTGTATTTTGCCTATGATTAATTTTTGTGCCGTGCAAGTTAGTATGATTATATATTTGATAGTTGTAAATGTTTATTTCAAAATTTTGCGGGTTTTCCTTTTTACTTTATACAGTTCACAATTTTTAGGATTAGACTTTTAGTCTACAAAAGACTACAATTTTACAGGATGGAAAATAAAACGTATTTTTCGCAAGATCGTCTTATATATTGATCATACGAACATAATCAAAATTAAAAATAAGAAAAACATCAGACAGAAGTTTAATTATTCAAAAAGGCAAGACAAATGACAAATTATAATCATTTCACATCTATAACAGAGGATTTATTTTGATTGACTATTATTTTTGCAATGGAAATAACTACTTACAAAATCACTAGTGACGCCGAACAAATTACTAGTTTCGTTACGTTTCCCCAAAATGACGTAGCGACTCACATCCACACAAGTTACTCGAGTAATTTTTATATTACTTGAGTCTTGATTATGTAGACAGGTTTAGTTTAAAGGAAGATTCTATTTTTATACATTTTATTTAGATTTTTAGTAGCTTTTACAATAATGCGAAAATGAAATTCTATGTTAAATTAATATTGTTTTATTCGTTTTAAAAAAAATCACTCGAGTTTTGTCTTCATTGGAGTGAGAAAATTACCAGTACAGAGTGACTCACACTGTTTACTCAAATGAATAATGACCATTACAAATAATGAGGGTAAATAAATGTTTATTACTACTACAGCCGTACGTAATCGAATTGGACTTCGCTATTATTTGTCATTGCTAAATTCTCTACAATCAATACTAGAATTGTCCTCGAAATTAGTTAATAAGAAAATAATGATTTTAGTTGAGTTCGATAAATTTTATTTAAACCGAATATCGATAGTTCATATTTATTCGCTATGCGTGTTTGTTTCGTCACTACGATACCTGTCTATTAACTACGGCATTTACCTTAAAATTTAATTCGATACTTCATATGCGTCATTTATCAATCTATCTTATTAAGACAAACCGTATATAATAAAACGGTTTTAATAATAATGTACTTTTCACTAAAGTTTTAATTATTTTCAGATTCCCTTCGGTTTTGAAAAATGGATGAGGATGAAAAAAATACCGCACGTAAGTACTTTTATAGTTTTACTTAATCTATTTAAAAACAAAGAATATGTTGCCTGTAATCTTACTTCTTATTCTCACTAATATTATAAATGCGAAAGTTTAGATGGTGGATGGATGTTTGATAGCGTTTGTAGCCTAAATGGCTGAAAGGATCTTCATGAAATTTAGCACAGATATAGAGCATAGTCTGGAAGAACACATAGGCTACTTTTTATCCCGGGAATAGTTATGGTTCCCGTGGGATTCATTAATTTTATTTTTTAATGTTTACTCAATCATTCTGCAACAGTTCAATATATCTTATTGAAATAGGGAATACACATGTATTTTTTCTTTTTTTTAAACGATTGTACTTGTTCTAAAATAACCAGAAAAAAAATGACTTAAAAATATTCAATGATTGAGCTAAAAATAATAAAATAATTACGATCATTTCTGTGCGACTAAAACGCGACCGGAGTTGTCATGAGACACGTGACGTCAATCATCATATTTAATGCATTTCATTCATTTCATTCATCACATTGTCACTTTGATGTAAAAAACAACAAAGTATCTCATTGGTTATCAAAACTCAAAAATCGATTCTTTTTTATTATTCCTGGTACAAATAAGCGGTAATAAAACCACATTATATTAAAAAAATCTTTACAGGTATGTTTTTCTAGTAATAAAGTATACTTAAAAAAAGTTTTTTACTATTTGGAGTCATATGCATATTGCCTTTTAAGCACAGATATAAAACAAAGTCTGGAGTACACATGGAATAAGTTTCATCCCCGAGAAATGTCCGGTTCCCGAGGGATACGTAGCTTTTTGTTATTTAAATAGTTCGTATGTTTTTTAATACCATGCGGACGAAGTCGGGGCAGCAGCTAGTTTTTAAATATAAATATGTTGCAGAACAGCGACTAGGGTGTATTTGAATTTCCAGTCTTTATTATAATAACAACTGTATTAACAGAAAGTTCAACAAGAAATCTATTTAAGATTTTCGTTGATATTTTTGTTTCGGATATTTCATAAAATAAATTACTTTTTCCATTAAAAAAACAGAAAACGATATGAATTTTTAGTGGACCTAAACTTTACCTTGGCCTATGACCATAACCAACCAACACTGTAAAATGCTTTGGCCATTGTTGTAATTCCATACAAACTTCGAGACAGTAGTGAGCCACCATATTTTAATCCTTACGAAAATTATAATTGTTGGAATATCCACAAAATGGATACTAGAATATCTCTTCTGTTAGACAAATTGATAAAAAAATACACTTAAACCAAATATCATTATTAAAAAAAGCTGTCCTTAAGAAAAGTGATAAGAAACTAACAATTTTAAACAGTTTCGCACCACTTACATTAAGTTCAGCCGTGGCTATTTAAAATAATATTTTCTATTAGTAATATAGAAGCGAAATATTAGCACATTAGTTTATGTATATATTTCAGTAGTTTACTTTCAATTTGCAAGTTCTCTAAAAATTGTAAATGTAAACGGACCGTAGCTCCCCGCTCGCTGGACCGAAATTCAAATTCACCCTATACCATCCACCATCTATCCACCTAAACCATGTGAACTCGCTTTGTAGTTGTGTATCTTTTCTTCAATTAATTATTATTCTTCTGATCAACAGGACCTTCGACATCATCAAATTCAGGACAGAGACGCAATCGGAATACCAATTACTTACAAAATAATCCCATGCAGCCTAGAATGTCTTTTTCAAGTAAGATAAATGTAATATTAGTAGATACATAATCACTACATAGTATTAAACAAAGTCGCTTCTCGCTGTCGGTCCCTGTGTGTTTAAAACTACGCTTCGGATTTTGATGATGTTTTTTTTTTAAATAGTCATTCAAGAGTAAGGTATAATATAGCAGAGAAATATTGATAATTTTAAATGTTTCTAATTTTTCATCGTAAATAAGTTTTCGTATCATCATTGAATCCGTGAAAAGCCGGAGCAGGTCGCTACAGTTGATTTCAAACAACCTATTATAATTTCTTAAACTGTACATATGTGTATTTCTTTTCCTCAAATAGAGGGCAAAAGGGACGTGGGGAAGGTAAATGTGAATTTTATTAGTTAAATATACATTTGGCTATAAATACACATGCAAATAGCTCGCACAGTAACAGTACGTTTATGTCAGTTTAGAGAAGGAACGAGAAGAGTGGTAAGAAGCGTGACACAGTGGTCTCAATACGATCTCGTTGACATTTTACTGGCATGATGGCATGATGACTCATTGCGTCAGTACCTAGCATATACTTACTACCCCGTTTTACTGGCATGTGGGTATGCCTGCATTTTTAAAGCACACTATCGATGAGAATTTTTTTCATTGAATTTTTTCGTTAATTAGGAAGTTCAGGTCAGAGGCGCGATGACAATTCCAACGCAATACATAATTTTCCCCGACAAAATCGTGGACATTGGCATGGAAGGGGAACAGGACGTGGTAGAGGTAAATATGGAATTGTTTTATAATTCGGGGGAGCTTAATTAGTTATTACTTACGCCATCATCATCTTCCTCATCCTACTCCCGTAGGGTCGGCACAAGTTTTTTGTCCTTCACATAACTCTATCATACGTCATCTCAGTCATCACTCCCTTTTTGACCAAGTCACCTTTCAGGCAATCCATTCTCTTTCTAGGTCTATCTGTACCGGTGTACCCTTCCACGCTCATTCCTCACGCCAATTTATTGATTTGTTTTTATTCAATTGAGCTGGGATGTTCTTCTTAGTAATTTTGAATAGGAGTACATAAAAATAAATGTTTGGAATTAGAACAATCATAATATTTTGAAAATGTTTGCATTTATTACAGGTTTCGTTCCCAATAATAATGATCAATCGATCCAACGACGTTCCGACAGAAACAATGGTGGCAATCCCATAAAGAGACAAACAAGAATGGGATTCAAAACCTTAGAAGAATTAGCTAACTCGGATAGCAGGGACATTCTGATGAAAATTAGTGCAAAGAGAGAAGCTTTTATGAATTTTATAAATTCACCGATCGATCGACCCGATGTATTCCCACTTTTGATGAAAATTTTGGCCAAAGCTTGCCAAACATCATTCGATAACCTTAGATTAAAATTTATAATAGAAGTGTGTAATTCCCAATTTTTGCTTTACTTACAAAATTTCTTACTTAATTTACAATATGGAACACAAAAGAGGGCAAATAACTTATATTGGAAGGATCCAATTGATTTTTGGAGTAATTTTATACAATTTTGCGAATGCGTGACGACAGTATCGCCGTCGACCGCGCTCCGCAGTTGCAGGGCTCTGATCGAAGCGACTTCTAGAGTTTGTTTGGAAGGCTTGAGCGACCGCCACGGCTTTCAGCTTCCTGATGAATATACATTGAAATTAACCCAGCTACGTACATCTTTAACAATTCAAGAGCAAGAAGTTGAGGTATTTCTCTAATGTTATTTAAATATTAGAAACATTCACACAAATAAATGTAATCTTAACTCAATATGCTTACAGGTGAAACAGAAAAGTAATTACTATCAGTTCGAAGTGGACGATGGAGATCCACCGGAGAACTTTCGAGAACTGAGCGTGATACCGAGTCCCGAGGAACTGTTGGAGCAGCGGCCGTTCTTGCGGCCCAACATTGTCGACGGCGCTTATCGCGACCAAGAACATTACCTCGATGTTCAGTTTAGATTGCTGCGCGAAGATTGCTACGGCCCACTTCGCGAAGGAATAAGTAACTATTTTATGGTGTTTTACTATTTTTTTTATAGGAGAAGACAAGAGAAGAAAACAAACTAACAGCAGATCGCCTAATGCCTACAGATCCGACGCCCATAGACATTCAAAACGTCAGAGGAACACCAGATGCGTTGCGACCTTCCACTTGTTACCTTTTTTTATAAATTCTAAATAACCTCATTCTTAAACAAATATTCTGAAGCGATAATTGTTGTTTCAAAAGATTGCCTGCATTTTAAGATTGCACATTATTACTTCTACTAATGTAATATTGTTTTCGAAAACTGTCTACCTCGTCCCTCGATTTTTTAAATCTCAAATTGTAGATGTCTATGGGTAACAGTCGCTTTGCTTTTCTTGAATTCGGATGGCCGCTCGCGCGTTTGCCATCTTTTCGGATTAAAAAAGATATTATTCGTCTTTTCCAGATCAACACATAAAGGATCCTATGAAGAAAAAATATGATTACATCCGGTTGGTATTCTTAATATTGTTAAATTAGTTCTTAAAAAAATAATCTTCATTACATGTTTCAGACCAGTGTTCAAATAAGGCCAGATGATTAGTATAATATTGTTTTCTTGTTTTATTTAATCCAATATTTAGCACTGGTTACTAGCTTGGCTCGTTGGCCAAAGTCTGCGCTTGTAAATGTCCGTACCATTGGACCACACTAGGCTATAGTTAACATTGTGATTTGATAAATACATTGCGTCTTAAATAACAAACAAATACTGGTTCTTTCAGAGTACTGCGTAACGTAGAATTTGTGGATCCGTTCATTTCTCAATTAAAATCAGGTTATCTTGTGCAAGTAGGGTCAAAAGACATAGCAAGATTCCGAAAAACCAACTGGACACATAGCAAACGTTTTATGTTTGGTTCGCTTGTACTGTTCACCAAAGATAACTGTAAAACCTTTTTAGTTGGCACAATTCTGGATCGTGATGCTAAATATTTGTCAAATGGAAAGGTAAGGATAGCACACGGTATTTTAGATTAATTCAGCATGTCTAAATTATCATTTACGATGACTAGGAAGTATTTTTCTCAGCATCGCTATTCTATAAGTCCTTAAACTCGGGGCTTGGAAACTAACCAAGCCGGCCTAGTGCGGGTTGGTTGACTTTACACATTTTTTAATTTCTTCGCATATATGCAGATGGCTTCACGATGTTTTCCTTCACCGTAAGGATGGAAATGGATGTTTGTTAGAGTTTGTAGCGTAAACGACTGAACGGATTTCGATGAATTTTGGCATAGACGTAAAGCCTAGTCTGGAAGAACATATAAGCTACTCACTATTGTTTTGTTTAATTCCACGCGGACGGAGGCGCGGGCAAAAGCTAGTACCTCATAATTCTCTAGGAATGCAAGATGGAAATATTTACCTATATTTGAATATTTTAGATACCGGTAGCACTGGTGGACAACAAGGCCGAGGTGAGCATTTGTTTCAGCGGGGATAAATACAACATGATAGAGAGTGAAGTCTATTTTGAACCTTATTACCACGTGCTCACTGCGCTCAAGGATCCCAAGTTCCCTGAACACTTAGCATTGAGCAAATATATTGTCGATGTAGATGTAAGTATGTTTAAAACAGTATAACTTTATTTAATCTATACTATTATAATAATGCGTAAACACATACTTCTTTGTTGCCTAAGATGTCAGCAATTACAGCATATTTTTAAATAATTCCTTTTTTAACAAAAAACCCTACTCTTAGGTGACGCTTTAGGCTATATATTTTCACGCCAATAAACTTAGGTGGTAAATATTTTAGGTAAAAATTTTTTTTACCCAAAATATTTGTAAATTAAAACATTAGGGAATGTGGGAAAGAGAGAAAGAAAGATTGCTAAGGTTTGTCATGTCATGTTATGTCTTTTTGACATTTTCTATTGATAATTTGACAAATGTAAACAATATAATAAAATTTTCATAATGTCATGCGGATGAAGCCGCACGGGAACAGCTAGTTTCATTTAAATTATCAAGCTCATGTCATCAGATGTTCAAATGTTTATTGTTTTAATATTACAGCCGATACCGAATCTACCTCGTTACCTAAAACCACAACAAGTCTACAAAATTGAATGCGATAATTATGTTGATCACGAGTTCGTAGTGGAGGATGAAAAGACGTGGCCGAATTATGATCAGTTGGGCCTCAATGAGACGCAATATGAAGCGTTCAAATTGGCGTTGACTCATGAATTCGCAGTCATCCAAGGCCCTCCCGGTACCGGCAAAACTTTTATCGGCGTTAAAGTTGCCACAACTTGCATTAAGAATTTAAAATCTGGAATGAACAAATGCCTGCTGCTAATGATTTGTTACACGAACCATGCGTTGGATCAATTTTTGGAAGCGATTCTGCCGGTCACCGAATCCGTAGCGCGCATTGGAGGACAGTCGCGCAGCGAAATTATGAAGAAATATAACATAAACGAGTTAAGGCATAATTTTTGTAAGCAAATTCATGGAAATCAATATTTCTATGACGAAAGAAATAAATTAAGAATGTTAAATAAAAAACTCAAAGAAGCACAGGAGCGTCTTCATTCTTTGCACAATGAAGTACTCAGTTACACGTGTGTGCAGAAACACGTCCCTGAAATTGGGGTTTTAAAACGATTTTATGGTGGTGGCAACAAAGATCCTTTGGAACAGTGGTTATTTGAGCATGCAGATGTTGACGCAGAACTAACTGAGGCAAATGAGAATGAAAATGAATACTTTGAAATAAACAACGAACCCAAAAACAATAGGGATGAATTTTGTATTGATGATTTGGATGATGATAACGAAGAATTCAATATTGACAACGAGCCCTTAGCATACGTGTCCACAAGTTTTTCACTACCAAATGCTATATCGGAAATGAGAAATATGCAACACCAATGTATGACATGTAAAGATCCGCAAGAAACGCAAGTGCTCAATACAAAAATTCGTTCATATAACAGCCACATTCATCTCTTTAGAGTAAGTATTTTCTTTAAATTCTTTAAGTTAGTTTCCGACCATGCGGAATTAAAAAAAAAACAAAACGTAATAAAAAGCCTATATATTCCTCCAGACCACGTTTTATGCCACAATTTCAAATTTTATCAAGATTCATTGGGCTGTCCATTCGTCCCTCTAAACATTCGCAATTATAATATGTCGCCCGCGTCTCCATCCGCGTGAATTAAAAAAAAACGAACGTTATGTCTATGTATTCTTCCAGAATATTTCCTACAGTGATGCCTAATTTCATCGAGATCCATTCAGCCGTTTAACAAACAAACATGCATCCATCAGTCTAAACTTTCGCATTTATAATATTAGTAAGAATAAGAACATTAATATCATAATTTTTTATTTGCAAATCATTGTGTAATATTTACTTATGTAAATAAATAAATAAGAATTAAGGGACAAGAAAACAAGCAAGAGAATGTTTAACATTTAACAATCGAGGGTCTATTGGGTGTCGAGAGTAAAGGTTCGACAAAAGAATATGTGAATTACTAGTTTAGGTCACCGCGGCACTCGTTCGTACACACTCTTGTCCTTTCATATACTTTGTGTATTTCGACGTTGCTACTCCACACATCACAATGTTGGGCTTTTAAACTAAACACTGACATTGACATTTGATAAATTTTAGATATATATGAGATAAGATTTTAAACTAATTTTCAATTTGCCAACGTAATTCATATTATTTTACACACAGTAGTCTTTACATCCTGGCTCTTACGCAAGTCGCTGCTAAGAATTTCAGCTATCTATCTTTCAGTCAAAGTCCCGTTCAAATCCAGAGATAGGGGTCCGGTCGTCATTTTGACAGCGTGGAATTTAAAAAAAAGTAGCCTATAATATGCCCGTCTATACCAGCTACCATCCACTGAAAGTCCGGTCAAATTAACAAAAATTTTTTAAATGCGAATTTCGTTATCAGCATCGCAAATACATCATTTTCTCGTAATCAGGATTTTTTTTTTCTTTTATTATTGCAGACACTCCAATTTTATTATATGTATACGAGTTCTAAACGGTTTTATGTTGTAACAGGAGATGTCTGTGTATCGCCGAAACAAACGTGACAACCTCCTTTTGCCACTTAATCCTACGAAAATGTGTACTCAAGATCGCTGGCTCCTATACTTTTCTTGGGCTGACACTGTTATTGCTAATCTTATGAAGAGCATAATCCCACTGCACGTGAGTAAAACACGAGCCAATTTTCATATGCTATTTAACGATATCAACATTGGAGAAGGGACCAATGAAATGAGCGTAAAAACACCACAATTCTTTCTTGGTCAATTAAAACTGCACTTCAAGATCTTACTCTGAATTAATCTATTTCCTGTTATATCTTTTTTTTTGTATCCATATTGTTAAAAAAAATAAGAAAGCATAGTATGGTATAACCATGAAGTTTTTCCCTTTTTACTAGAAGGTTTCTTATCTCATGTTCACAGGAAGAATTTGCAAGGGCAAGTGAGATTTACGAAGAGACAAGGATGGCAATAGATCTTGAGATATTAAAAAATACAACAGTCATCGGCATGACTACTACTGGGGCTGCGAGGTTAAGGAAACTGCTGCAGGCTCTGGCACATCCAATAAGTAACTACAAAACAAAGTAAAGAGATTAAAATGACTGTGCCGTTAACAGTCCCATACACTAGTCAGGTTATCTGCGGATGTTTTGTGATGCGCACCTCCATACATGTTCATACTAAACTATCGGTCGATAAAAACTGTTTAGTATACATGTGCTCTGAATGTCATCGGCCATTTTAACTAGGGAAAGTCGCAGTGGCGCAAAACTTGGCTATTATAACACAAGCTGTTGCTCACGACTTCGTCCATGTAAAATAAAAAAAATAAAAAATGGTCTATGTTATTCAGCGATAACGTAGATTTAATTGTGAATTTTTGTTCGACCCAGTACTTTTTAAGTTATTTACATTCAAAAATACAAATCTTTCATCTTTATAATATTAGTATAAATGTATACTGGTGAACACTAGTTATGAATTTATATGGCATTATTGTTTACAGTAATTGTAGAGGAAGCCGCTGAAGTTCTCGAACAGCACATAATAACATCGCTTACACGACATTGCGAACATCTCATTCTAATTGGTATGTTACCTTCGAATTTACTTTGAAAGTCTAAGCGTTTGAATTTTACCACTATTAATAGCGAAGTCAACCTTCCTGGACAAACCGAGTTTCGATTAGTTATAGCGCTCGTAGAATCGACAAAACGTGTCAAAACGCATAGGAATGAATACGTGACTAGCACGTGACATCGAATGTTATTGTCAGTTCCATACATTTTTGACGATTTATCAGCGTATAATTGAACATTATTTTGTCTAAGTTAGCCTGTGTTTTTATAATAATTGTAGGCATGATGTCCATCCATCATCGACGGTCACCCGCGACCCGCGACTTGACACTGCGAGATGTTGCCGGCCGAAGTTGAACTTCAAATATGAATGTTTTGTACAGGTGACCATCAACAGCTGCGGCCGTCGGCGGCCCATATGAAATTAGCCAAACATTACAACATCGAGGTGTCCCTGTTCGAGCGTATGATCAACAACAACATCCACAGCAGCCGGCTGGGCGTGCAGCACCGCATGCGCCCCGCCCTCGCCGCCCTCATCTCCCCCCACATCTACCCCCACCTGCAAAACCACCCCTCCGTCGAAAACTTCCCCGACGTAAGAGGGATGACCAACAACCTATTCTTCCTTAGCCACGACTTTAAAGAAAAGGTACGTAATTATTTACCTGTTAATAAAATAACCAAATAATGTCCTTTGTCGATTTTCGAAATGTTATTTTATACATTGAAGAAACCCCAAAAATAAGCCTAAAGGATTCGATCAGGTGTCGAAAGGTGAAATTTATCCGTTATTAAAACATTTTAACTGTTGTGTTTGATGTTGGAAATTATTATTTTTTACAGCAAGTCGACGAAAGTTCAAGCAAATGTAATGAAAAGGAAGGAGACTTGGCGCTCGGCTTGGCCAACTACCTCGTGCAGCAGGACTACGCCGCGGAGGATGTTACAATTCTCACCGGTTACTCCGGACAAATGTTTTACTTGCGAAAGGTAAATCTAACTAGTTAGTTAATATTATAACTGCGTAAGTTTAGATAGATGGATGTTTGTTAGAGTTTACAAACGTCTGAACAAACTGAGCTCCCCATGGAATTTGGCATAGATGTAAAGTATAGTCAGGAAGAACACATAGACTTACTTATGTTTTTTAATTCCATGCGGACGGACTCGCGGGTGAAAGCTTGGATTTTTCTTATTTAAAAATAATACCAGAATAAAAATAATAGTAACTTTTGCATATTATTTTCAGCAACGTGCATTTTACGCGCACTTGAAGGATGTTAAAATCACTGTTGTTGATAATTATCAAGGCGAGGAGTCTAAAATAATTATCCTGTCCCTCGTGCGAAATAACAATGAGAACAAAATTGGTTTCTTGGGCACAGTGAACCGAATTTGCGTGGCTTTGTCCAGAGCCCGGGAAGGTAACTCAGCATTAACAATTAATATAAAAACATGATTGAATGTAAGATTTTTTAAAGAATATCATATTTTATAATATGTAATTTTTTGTTTAAAGGTTTCTACATGTTTGGAAATATAGACATATTGAAAACAAATTCTGAACTTTGGGAAAAAATCGCATCAACGTTGGAAAACAACGGATCGCTGGGGAGCAGAATGCGTTTGCGTTGCGAGCGGCATCCCGAAGAAATGATATGGGTGAGTTATAAAAAAAACTTTTAATTCATCAAAATCCAATCTTGGTAGAACCAATCTTTTTATGATTAAGATTATTTTAACACATGAGGAGGAGACTTTGTACCTCTTTCTGACCGACTTCCCAAAAGAAAGAGGTACACATTCGTCCGTATATTTTTTAAGTGTATTTCTGAATATCACCAGCCCTGGTAGACCGATTTTGAATATTATTTTTATATCCGAAACGTAGTGCTTGCAGGACGGTCCAATTTTTTGTTTAATTTTTGGAGTCATCTATAGAAACATTGTCTATGACTAGCTTTCGCTCGCGAGTTCAATCGCGCGGAATTAAAAAAAAAATTTTGAAAGGTATTCTTCCAGACTAAGCTCTGGTTCTAAGGTTCGTATAGCAGTTTTTGAGATACGTATTAGCGAACATCCATCCAAACTTTCACATTTATAGTATTAAGTATGACGGTTGGATTTCGACGGATTTTAAATGGGCGATCAATCTTACTTTTTACTAATTACTAATATTATAAATGCGAAAGTTTATAATATTAGTCGGATGGATGAATGTTTGTTAGAGTTTGTAGCCTAAGCGGCTCAACGGATCTCGATGAAATTTCGCATAGATGTAGAGAATAGTCTGGAAGAACATATAGTCTTCTCACTTTTGTTTTTGATTTTTTAATTTCACGTGGAAGGAGTCGCAGGCGGAAGCCAGTGGTTTAGTAATATTAAATAATGTAAATGCGAGTAAAATGTTATACTTTTAACAGGCGTTGCTTGGATAGATTTCAGATGCGGCGGACTTCGAGAAGTCTCCCGAAGGAGGATGTATGAATAAATGCTCTTTCAATCTCGACTGCGGACACCAGTGTCCGATGATATGCCACGGTTACGATCGCGGACATGCCAACACAAAGTGCACAATGAAATGTGAAAGGTATGTATGTATGTATGCACCGTAAAAATGTCATATAGATCTAAAGACATTTAAGAAATATATAGACTAGACATAGGAAACAAAATTTTTTACAGGTTACAAGACCGTACAAAATTTTGTATGGTCATATCTTAATAAGTAGTTTATTATATTACTAACTGTTGCCCGCGACTTCGTGTGCGTGGTGTTAGAAAACATACGAACTATATAAATAACAAAAAGCTACGTACGTATCCCTCGGGAACCGGACATTTCTCGGGGATGAACCTTATCCCATGAGTACTCAGACGTTGTTTTATGTCTGTGCCAAATTCGAATAAGATATGTTGAACCGTTGCAGAATAATCGAGTAAACATTAATAAAAACAAAATCAATGCATCCCACAGGAACCGTAACTATTTCCGGGATAAAAAAGTAGCCTATGTTTTCTTCCAGACTATGCTCTACATCTGTGCCGAATTTCATCGAGATCCGTTCAGTAGTTTAGGCTAAAATCCATCCATCCATCTAAAAATAATATAAACTAGCTGCTCCCATGCGATTTCATTTTTTTTTTATAATACGAGGTGGCAAACGAGCTAGCGGCCACCTGAATCCACCGAAATGGAAAGCGACTGCTGCCCATAAACATCCGTTATTGTAGATGCGTTGCCTACCCTAATTGACGGAGGAGGAGACGCACATAAAGAGAACATTTCCCCTTCCTATGCATCTCTTTCACCGTCCAATCCACTTTTTCCTCCCATCCTTTCCTCTTAAGAAAAGGGTGGAAAGGAAAAGGGACTAAAATTAGGCCTCCGGCATCACACTCATCAGACGAAACGCGGAGTTGCTTCCACTTCACGCCTGTTTTCTGTGTGGTCGTGGTATTACACCGGGCGAGCCGGCCCATTTGTGCAAAGATGTTAAAGCGGGCTCTACCACTGTTTACCATCCGTATACAATTATAAAAAAGTTCATTTTATTGTTTACATTTGTCAAATTATCAATTGCAAATGTCAAAATGACATGACATGATGTCAAACCATGGCAACCTTGATTCCTTGATGTTGGCAGCATCTTATGATCTCTTTCCCACATTAGGGTTTTTATCCAAAATATTTACATCTAAGTTTAATGGCATGAAAATATGTAGCCTAAAGCGTAATGTAAGCATAGGGCTTTTTATTAAAAAAAGAGTTATTCAAAAATATGGTGTAATTGCTGATATCTTAGGCAACAAAGAAGTGTGTGTTTACGCTTTATTAGTATATATAATAGATAATTAGTAGATAGATACAGAGATAGGCAATAAATGTAATGTCTGTTTGAATTATTTGTAGAATTATATGTGAGAGTGGGCACGTGTGCCCGCTGGCGTGCGCGGCGCAGTGCGCGCCGTGCGCCGTGCCCGTGCCGCGCCGCCTGCGCTGCGGACACGACATGGACCTGCCCTGCCATCTGGACATCACAGACCCCTCTATTAAGTGTAAAACCATCGTCACCGTCACCTTGGACAACTGTAAACATCAGGTACAGTAGAACCTCGATAACTTGAACCTCGGTGACTTAAAAACCTCTATAACTTCAAAAAATAACATGTTCCCTTCCCACCAGAGCCCAAAACCTCTACAACTTAAAATACTCAACCTCAAATTTCTCCATAATTAAACAGCTACATTACCACTAAGTAACATAGGCTATATCTAGCTTCTATCTGTACATGTAATAAAATTGGAGTGTCTGTTTGTAATAAGAAAGAAAAATTCCAGATTTCAGGAAGATAATGTATTTGCGTTGCTGATAACGAAAATCGCATTTAAAAAAAAATATCTGTATGTCTGTCCGCATGCTGCTTTTGTCCCGGGTAATCTCCGAAACGGCTATGTTGATTTCGACCGGTCTTCTTCGGTCACTGGAGGGTAGCTAATATAGACCCGCATATTACAGGCTACTTTTTTTTTACTTCCGCGCTGTCAAAATGACGACCGGACCCCTATATCTGGAGCGGGTGGACTGATTTGGACGGGACTTTAACTAAAAGATAGCTGGTAGAGGGTAGATGAACGCGGGAATGTGATAGATGACCTTTTGTTTTAAATCCGCGCTAACAAAGTTTGCGGGCGATAGCTCGTTTTTTAATATTATTTTAATTGCGACGGACGAAGTTGCATACAATTGCTATATCATAATAAAAAAGGGAACGATTTACACGAGTATTTTATGCAAAAAATTGAATTTTTGAAATAAAATAAATTATTTATTTTTAGGCAAAGAAGGTGTGTCACTTGGACACTAAGTATGTAATTTGCCCCATGCCTTGCATATACAGGGTTGAGAAATGTGGCCACCAATGCGAGCATACTTGTCACGTTAATAATGATCCTTATCATGAACATGTAAGTAAAACCACAGATAACACAATCTATACTAATATTATAAACAAGTGTATTTTTGTATGTATTGAAATAACTCAAAAACTGCTTGACCGATTTCAAAAATTCTTTCACCATTATAAAGCTACGTTATCAGTGAATAACATATGTTGCATTGTATTTATTTTATAATATCACGGGACAGAGTCGCGAGCAACAGCTTGTACTATGAAAAAAACTATACTAGGTAAAACTTATTTAACAAATAGTATAAGTATAGATAAAATAGTTTCATAAAAATCCATTCAACAGTTTACGCTACAAAATTCTATCCATCTAAACTTTTGCATTCTTAATATTTGTAAGATCAGAGAATTATTGTAAAAATTGTTTTTTTTTAGTATGTATGTCAGAAACCTTGCGCAAAATCCAAGGAAGGCTGTCTGGCCGGTCTAGTGGGCGACCGCGGAGACCACCAGTGTCGCAGGAAATGTCACGAAGCTTGTGACCCATGCGTTGTTGAAGTATGTATTATAATGCCTTACTTATATTTTAAACTGAATTCCCAAAAGAAAGATATTGTCAAGGGAATATGCATGTATTTTTTTAAGCGATACTACTTGTTACAAAATAACTAGAAAAATTTTGATGCGAAAATATTCAACCATTGAGCTAAAAATAATAAAATAAAATTACGACCATTTCCGAGCGACTCATTCCATTCATAACATACGCTCAGATGTCACTTCGATGTAAAAAACAACAAAGTATCTCATTGTCAAAAATCAATTCATTTTTATTATTTCTGGTGCAAATAAGTGGTAATTAATAATTTGTTCCTTATTTTTTTTTATTTTAAAGTTGGTTTTGATATCGTGTTTACAGTAAAATACTTCAAGAGTGTATTTCAATATAAACTAACGTAAATGAACTGTGTATTGTCAACACAGCGACGCCATATTAGATAAGCCACTTGCTTCGACCAATAGTGTGCGTTTTAGAACTTAGCGAGGGAATTTGAAAAAAGAAACTTTATAATGATTAAATTTTGCCACTAAATCACATTACATTTTAAAAATTTTTTTGCAGGAATGTTTTTATAGTGATAAAGTATACTTTAAAAGAGTTTGGTACAATTTGGCGTCATATGCATATTGCCTATTCGTCTGTTATCTTTTTGGCAAGCTGTTCCCGTGCGGATTTATTTTAAACATTATTTAATTGTTATATAATATCAGTTATATCATCTTACATAACAAAGAAGTGTCTTTACTCTTTATTATATTAAAAAATACTATGTTTTACGAATATTTGTGTATGTATGTCCGTTTTGTGATTTGTAGCCAAAAAACGATTCATATATTTTAAGATTGAATTCTATTCGTATTCGATAGTTAGTTATTAATTACGCAATTGTATAATTTAAGGTTATAAAGAAGCGTGCCAACTGTAAACATTCTGAACTCATCGCCTGCAACAAGGCTGTAGATGATGAAATATGCAAAAAGAAATGTGCGCGCACACTGCCCTGCGGACACTTCTGCAAGAAGAAGTGCTACGAAACTTGTGGAGACTGCACGCAAATGGTAAATATACTTATACTTAAAATGTGCCACAACTAAAGTACACGCATACAGGCGTAGCCACGGTAGGGCGGGGGCAAACGCCTGTCTCTGGTCTATAAAGTACAATCGGGGAACCTGGCGGTGTTCCACCTTAAAAGCTTCAATCTTTTGAATCGAGACGCGGAACAAACACTATTGCAATGTACATCATAAAGGTAAATGTAAGAAAAGTCGGTTAATGGTACACTTATAGTTTCTTTTATTATGATCCCTTCGTTTGCACCACTCACTGCTATCTAATTAGTAATTAAAGAGATGGAGTTTGTCACGTTGTGATAAACAAGGCAATTTTTCCTGAAGCAGGACACCGCGGTTTTCAGAGACTTACGCCGACGGAATCGCTGGCAAAAGTTTTATAAAATTGTTGAGAATATTTTTGGGTAAACAATTGGGGTAATTTCCGTTATATGCAGGTACGGAATTCGCGTTATGTTTAGTGTTATATTTTAAATATTATTTAATGTAAAGGTGACAAAGATAATTCCGGAATGCGGGCACAAAGTGAAGGTGCAGTGCAAGGAGGTGGCGACTCGCGAGCTGTGCGTTGAGAGATGCGAGCGCACAATGGAGTGCGGGCACGCGTGCGCGGGCCGCTGCGCCGCGCCCTGTGACGTCACCGCCTGCGCCGTCACCTCACTGCGAGCCCACATGTCGCCGTGCTCGCATCTCGTCCGGCTGCCGTGCAACATCGCACGATCGCCGGACACACGTGAGTTTCTTTATTTCTTGCTGTATAGTAGTGGACTGTATATCTTGCTGTTAGGTAATAAGTTGGCTGGCAGGCTTGCAGTTCGAAGATATGTTAGTCAAAATAGTTACAAGGTCAAATTATATTTCATACTAATATTATTGCTATTGCTATTGCTATTACCGGTTTTTAAATTTATTCTAAAAGGACTGACGGAGGAGTTACTTTTGCGGTACTGCGCGGAACCGTGCGGGGCGCTGCTCGCGTGTGGGCACCAGTGCGGGGGCACGTGCTCCCAGTGCCGCCAGGGCCGACTTCACGTCGCCTGCACTCAAACCTGCCACCAAACCAACATCTGCGGCCATCAGTACGGAATTATACGTTTACTAGCTTTCGCCCGCGATTTCGTCCGCGTGTAATTAATAAAAACAAAAGCTACTCTATGCCCATGGCGAACATCGGGCACTGGTAGGGCGGCCATTTTGCGTGAAGCGTCAAATAGTTCGATTTGAGTCGCGACTCGCGATGGAGTGCGCGCGCGACCGTGTGCCCGGCGGACGCCAATTTAATGTGGACATAAATTCAATATCGAAACATATTGTTACGATCTATAATTATTAAGTTAAAATACGAATCGTGATATTGAAGATATCAAGTACATCAACTATTAAGAATTATTGAAATACCTGAAATAGCCCACAAGAAAATGTCATAAATCACCCGATATTACCTGATGTTAGTCGGAAGAGTACATTTAATTACCGTATGTCATGTTTGTTTTCCGTTATTTCTGATTATGTTGTTGTGTTATGGATGATGCGAGCATGTTATTTCTCTCGGCCGTCCTGCGTAGATGCGAGGTGGCGTGCAACCAGGTGTGTCCGCCGTGCGCGCGGCGCTGCGAGGTGCGGTGCGCGCACTCGCAGTGCAGCAAGCTGTGCGGCGAGCCGTGCGCGCCCTGCCAGGTACACGCTCCCCAACATTTAGCGACACATACTTACATGTCTACCATTTTATCTATTTTAAAACAGGCGTGAAGTGGAAGTTATTCCGCGTTTCGTCTGATGAGTGTGGTGCTGGAGGCCTAATTTTAGTCCCTTTCCCTTACCACCCTTTTCTTAAGACGAAAGGATGGGAAGGAAACGTGGATTTGACGGTGGAGGAGTCGCATAGGAAGGGGAAATGTCCTCTTTATGTGCGTCTCCTCCGACATTGAGGTGGCCGCTTGCTCGTTTGCCATCCTATGTTATAGAAAAAAATCTACCAACTAATAATATACTATTTATTTTATTTATACTCACTTATTGTGTTGTGACTTTTTTTTTATTAATCATGTTTTTTTTTATTATTGCATTATATTATACTTTCACTTTAAAAGCTTAATAAAAACCTGTCATTGGCTTTACGATCACATAATACTAGATGTAATGTGTTTTATATGTGTACGCTGTTGTTTTTTTTAAATAAATATAAATACAGCGTTTCCGTTTTTATGCGCGGTTCCATTTGTAACATATAGTGGTGCCGGCCAATCAGATTGTATAGACTCACTGGCGCCAGTTAACGTTCACACTGTGCCAATTGATTGTCAGTCCAGTTGTTGATCGCTACTGATCAACTGTACTAGCCAAATGTGATCTGGCATTATGGCGTCTGATCTTGAGCTGCGCATTACCCTTTTCGCATAATTTACTTTAGATTCGAAATAGTCTGCGCAGTAACTACTATATTTATCTCGTCTTTAGCACTCACGGGTGACGACATTTAAATCATAATATAATAGACACAGTTTCCTGCAAAATATTTGTTAATAAAAATTATTAAGTACTAGCTGTTGCTCACGACTTCGCCCGCGTGAAATTAAAAAATATAGCCTATGATACTCACTGATAAATTACCTTTTTGCAGGTAAAAGAATTTTTAAAATCGGACCAGTAGTTGTGATTCATTTTGATTTATTTCAATACATACTAAAATCCAAAAATACTAATCTTTCCTCTTTAGTATAAACATATAGATATAGATTAGGGTTGTAACGGAACTTCGCTATAATTTTCAAACAGTGAGACTTAATGTTAACCTATAAATGCATGATTTTATCTTTTAAAATATCATGAATTGGATTGTAACAAGGATAAATAAAGAAAAAAATGATTTTTCAAAATAGTCTATTGTGTAACGAAGAATAGACTGATGTATAAATACATCATGCTTTTGATGGCTAAGATACGTATCTATGTGTGAGATCAGGAGGCGTGCAGCCGGCGCTGCGAGCACGGCGCGTGCGCGCGGCGCTGCGGCGAGGCGTGCGGGCGGGCCGCGTGCGACGCGCCGTGTGCGCGCGCGCTGCGCTGCGGCCACGCCTGCCGCGGCCTGTGCGGCGAGCCCTGCCCCGACGTCTGCAACATCTGCCGCCCTGATGACTTCCCCAGGGGCTTCATCGGCGAGGAATATGATGATGATGCCAAGTACTATTTCTTCATTCGCATCTATAATCGTGTAACTTAAAAAAAAGTGTGGCAAAACAAAACTTCAATGTCTTCTCGGACTTCTCGTTGAGCCGTTCGGCCCATCGATCGATAGTTCTATTAGTATTTTTTCAATTAAATAATTGTATTGTTCGACATTCTTATAATTGTAACGACGTAATTTTACTTAACCGCTCGGACCACTAACTCCCGCCAGAATGGCGCGCTAATTCTAATAAGTCTAAATGACATTGACAGTTGTCATATGTACGGGACGGTGATTTAGTGTTGCCTGATTTTTCTTAACAGTTTGGATTCGATCGGCCCAATGAGAAAAAAATCCTATTGCGTCAATCGACCTATTGGTCCAACGAGAAACACACAAATATGTAAAATAGTAATAGAATTATTATTTTAAAATAAATGTACATTTTCAGGTTCATTCAGCTGCAGGACTGTCCGCACGTGATGGAGGTGCAGGAGATGGACGGGCTGATGATGGCGGACAAGGAGACCATCGCCATCCGCACCTGCCCCTTCTGCAGGAAGCCCATCATCAACACCAACAGATACAAGGACCTCGTCAACAGAACCTTCGCCCTTGAAATCAATCCGGTCAAGGAGAGGGTGTATGGAACTACGGCACAGATCCAAAATAAACAGATTGAACTTCAAAAGGCACTGAATGAATTTTCAGCCAAAGATAGAGCAATTAGCGCAGGTATTTTTATTTTAAAAATGACCTTTTAAATTATTTTAACATTGTCGTTTTTTTTTTTTTTCATTAATTCTTGTACATATCTTTTGGTATAATTGCGATGTTTCTCTCAATATTGGAATGTTTAGTTTTTTTTTCTATTTTATTATGAAATTAAAATCTTTCAGACATCCGGATATGGAAAAAATCATTATCAAAATTATTAGCCAACTGTAATCGAAAGAAGAAGAGATCACTTTTAAGTTTAGAGATGGATTTCATTTTTCTTGAAATATTGGACATGATGTCTGATGTTTACGATAAATCTCTTGCAACCGGAATTATCGAATCAAATGCAGAGCTGCAGATAGGAATCGAAATAATATGTCAGTACTTGATCACAAATACACAGAAAATCAGCCAACAGCAGCAAATAGATATTGGAAAAGAAATAAAGAGATTGAATTACATCATTCAATTCCACAAAATAACCAATCATGCGGAGTACAAGATTGCGATCTCTGCTAATTCTGCACTAGAGCAATATACAGCCGCGGCCAGACAGCTTATATTCGGCTGGAAGATTTTTGATGAAGATAAAGCGCTTAACTCGTTACAACAACTGCAAGAAAAAGTGAAACTATCCACAATAGTGTCCAAAGAGGAGAGAGACTTGATAGTTAAAGCTATTGGCCTTAAAGCCGGTCACTGGTACAAGTGTCCGAACGGCCACTTCTATTGCATCGGGGAATGCGGAGGCGCCATGGAAGTGAGGCGCTGCGAGTGCGGCGCTGCCATCGGCGGCTCCAGCCACACGCTGCTCGCCTCCAACAGACACGCGCCCGAAATGGACGGCTCCTCATTCCCAGCTTGGTCCAATCAATACAATAATATAGCTAACTTTTTAATCGACTAATTTCCACCAAACTGTGAAAGATATCCTATTAATATTATAAATGCGTATGTTTAGATGTATGTTTGTTAGAGTTTGTAGCCTAAGCATCAGAACGGATCTAGGATAAAATAAAATTTGGCACAGATGTCGAAGACAGTCTCGAACAACATATTTTTCTTTAATCCCGCACTGACCAGCGTGCGGAAGCTAGTTTTAAATGTTTCCTTTTATTGTATTATTATATATAATTTTAAGATATTACATCATCTAGTATGGGGTGGGATTCCACAACTGCATGACTAGCGCTTATTTTGCGTCAACTATTAATTAATTTAGTTCCAACAAGATAGTACTAACCCAAAAGTAAGTAAACATCAATTACATTAAATGGCGGCTGTTTACTATCTTTATGTTCATTGGAATGAACTGAGGCCGATATCAACTTTAAATTATATTGAAAATAATGTATCTCAAAGTATGTCTTAGTATTCGATATCAATTGGTATAAGTATTCAATAGAGTATAATCCATAGTATTTTTTTTATTTATAGTCTTTGTTTATTGTTTTATCCATTTAACTTTAAAATCAACGTAACGAATCCAAGCTTGTAGAGAACGGCGGATTCAGGGGGGGTCATGGGGGTCATGACCCTCCCCCGTGAGCTGGTTGGTCAAGAGCTTGACACAATATATTTACATATTTTGTCAAGCTCTCGACTTGACTACGATTGACGATTGATAAAATTAATAATACACACTAATAATAAAACAATAACTAAAATTGTTTTGAAGTAATACAGTTTGTTATACACTAATTGGCATAAAATGGCATTAAACGTTAAGTGGAGCTTATTACGGTTATTACGGTTAAGCCTTTTCTGAGATTAGCGCCCACAAACACACAGACAAAGTGGATTTTAATTCCTGCGCGTTTGTACACTAATTGGAATTAAAAATGCATTGAATGTTAAGTGACGTTTAGCACAACACGACAGTGAAAATTAAATAAAAACCGGTTAAGCCGTTTCTGAGATTAGCGCCCACAAACACACAAAGTGACAAAACTTAAACTCCTTTGCGAATTAGCTTAACTTAAATATGTAAATTGATTAGTTTGCGAATATATTTAAGAGGTAAAAATCATATGGTTTTCGAATAGAGGAATTGTGCCTTGGGCGCAAGGTGAGCTCGCTACGCCACTGGTGTGACCCCCCCCCCCCTGGCACCAAAGCTGGATCAGACCTTGCTTGTAGAAGTATATTTGTAGATTAATGTTACACAGTGTTTTTATCACTTCAAGTGTAGTTTTCAAATATCTTATCGGCTGCTAATGCCTGGTACACACTGGGTCAGCAAGTTGAACAGTAGCTTAGGCCAGGCATGGATTGTATGTTCTCACTGTCGACAGCCCGTATTCATATTATGCCAGTCCAGTTAGCGCTATTATCCAACTGTACTGGCCAAGTGTGAACCAGGCATTACTTCGCGAGAGTTGCTGCGCAGATAACTAAGATGTGTAGCGGGACAAGATATTTAATTTGATACATGTAATAAAAAATAAATTTGTGAAACCCCTAGGCGACGCTATTTTTAAACGCTTTTAGCTGACTATAATATATGTGTGTTTAAATAAAATTCATTAAAATTTAAAATAAATGCCTATAATTTTCATTCTTACACTATATTTATGTTGTACCGATTGCAAAACCTTTTTACCTTGGCCAGTATGTTCTGGATTATTTTATTTAAAACTTCAATGGATCTCTTTGGAGTATCACACTGCATTCCACGTGCGAAGTCACCGGACCTGTAGTAGACGTAAACTACATTGACCATTTTTTTAAGTCCAACGGTCGAATTCTGAAACGAATTTTTAAAACTCCGCTTAGTACGTGCCGCTTACAATCTGAGACGAAAATTTTAATGAAGTTTAAGCGTGGCTTTTTCATTTAAGATGCTGTATTTTAAAGTCGTTTCACTATTCGGCTGTTGGTTTTAAAATTCTAACAGTAGGCTTTTTTTTTTTTTTTTATGGAAAAAAGCGGGCAAACGAGCAGCGAATCGCTTGGTATCAAGTGATCCGACGCCCATGAACATCCGCAACGCCAAGGGAACTGCAGATGCGTTGCCGGCCTTTAAGGGAGGAATACGCTCTTTTCTTGAAGGCCCCTAAGTCGTAACTGTTTGGAAATACCGCTGAGGACAGAGTATTCCACAACGCGGCTGTACGAGGTAAGAAGGTACGTGAAAACCTCGTCGTTGTGGAATGCCAACCATCGAGGTGGTAACGATGATATTTGGCACTCTGTCGACTCGTGCGATGACGGAACTCAGCGGCAGGAATAGTTCCAAACAATTCTTCGGAACACTCCCCGTGGTAGAGACGATAGAAAATGCTAAGGGAACTAACGTCCCTTCGCAGAGCCAATGAGTCAAGCTGATCGGTAAGACCCCGGTCGTTGACGATTCGAGTGGCACGTCGCTGCACACGGTCGAAAGGAAGAAGCTGGTATTTAGGAGCTCCGGCCCAGAGATGCGAGCAGTATTCCATATGTGGCCGAACCTGTGCTTTATATAACTGTAGGCGATGGGCTGGCGTGAAATACTGCTTCGCTCTCCCGAGCACACCGAGCTTTTTGGAGGCCAACTTGGCCTTCCCTTCCAAATGACCGCGGAATTGGACGTCACTCGATATGTCAACGCCGAGAATACCGATGCTGGCTGTGGAAACCAGGGGAGTGCTCTCAAAGTTGAGGTTACCGACAAAGGGTTGTTTTTTGGCGGAAAACGCGCAAACTTGCGTCTTTTTGGGGTTGAACTCGACAAGGTTTTGTCGCCCCCAATCCGAGACATTACCCAGAAGAGTCTCTAGTTCCGACACAAGTTTATTCCGGTACTCGTCGACGTTATCCCGAGAAACATTAGCGCGGGCCGTGTACAGAGCGTCACCCGTACTATCATCTGCATAACAATGGACGTTACTGAAATGCAACAAGTCATTGACATGCAGAAGAAAGAGAGTGGGCGACAGTACACAGCCCTGTGGGACACCAGCATTAATTGGTTTGGGGTCAGAGCATGCACCGTCGACAACGACCTTGATGCTCCGACCCTCCAAAAAGCTGGCAATCCAAGCGCACAGTTTCTCAGGAAGCCCAAAGGAAGAGAGCTTCGAAAGAAGCCCTTTATGCCACACCCGATCGAAGGCCTTCGCTACATCCAAACTGACCGCCAGAGCCTCGCCTTTGTTCTCAATTGCCTCCGCCCATCTGTGAGTGAGGTACGCTAGAAGATCACCAGCTGAGCGACGCTGACGGAAACCGTACTGGCGATCGCTTAACAGCTGGTGCTCCTCCAAGTACCTCATCAGCTGGCAATTAATAATGGACTCCATTATTTTGGAGAACAAAGGGGTTATTGCAATAGGTCGGTAGTTTTCCGGATCAGAGCTATCGCCTTTCTTAGGGATCGGGTGAATTAGGGCAGTCTTCCAGGAATTCGGGACTACGCCTAAGGAGTAGGAGTACCGGAAGAGACGCGTTAAGACCGGTGCCAACTCAGGAGCACATGTCTTTAGCACAATGGGAGGGATACCGTCGGGCCCACTCGACTTCTACTGTCGTAACATTTTTCATAGAAAAGGATGATAATAGGTAACAGTTCCATTGTGGCATGGCATGACACTTAATTAATAGTAATACAGGATATAGCATAACCAGTAATATAAAAATTCATTTTCTGGTATAAGCAAACAAGTTTCATATTTCCAATATGGCAAGTTTTAATATTCTTGGTCAGGCTGTATTTAAAAAAAAAACCCAATTTTTAAAATCTAGCTAAAAAAAAGCCCGACTGACAGCATGGGAACTTCGGAGTAGACTATAAATGGAATATCACCTCGCCCTTGAAAATTATAATAGGTAATCAAAGGTAGGTGAGAAAAAAAAACTTCAAATTTTTCTGTCTTAATTTACTCTTATAATTATACATATTGTAAAAATAATTTATTACACAATAAATCTAACTTCAAAAACCAATTAACTCAACTGACAGCGCCCCTAAAATGTTGTAGAGGCTACAGATAAAATATGGTTTTACATATTATGCAGTGTTTTTCAACTAAACTTCTACATAAAGTTTTTTTAAATCAACAATGTATTTACAAACTTTTAATCTTGAGTAAAAATAATATTTATAATACATAAATAAAAAAATCAATTGTCAGTCGGGTAAAAACAATAATCTTATTAAATGAAAAATTATTCTATAACAAAATAAAACATTTTAAAAGACGAGTAAGCAACATCTTTCGACCAAATCTTGCTTCTTTTTAATCTACGCCAATTCATTTATAGCAGTAAACGAAAAAAAAGCCCTCTACTCAAAAAAAAAAACTTAAAAACAACCTATTGAACTAATTCTGAACCTTTTCTATTTTTCCTGACAATTTTTTTTCTTAAAGAAATTCTACAACACTGCCATTACCTACTGGATTCAAATGCCACATGAACCATAACAAATTAAAAAAATCATGAGTCTCCATTCATCCATTCTCCATCCATAGCGACCTCGACCTTTCCTAAAATTGAATGGATATCAGAACTACCAGATGTATTTTCTTTTTCATTTATATTTGCTTCTGAGTTTGTAGGCGGTGATGTCGGAGTAGACTTTTCTGTATCCAATATGTTCATCTTTGTTATATAAATCATATCCATTATATTTTTTTTCAACTCTATAACTTCTTTTCTCGATTTTATATCTCGTAGTTCACTTGCAACTGCTTCTCCAAATATTGAAAACTCATCTTTTTTCTGCCTATTTATTATTGCATTTGATGCATGGTTTAATAAATTTAAAGTTTTCATTTGGTTTACGCTATTTCTCATCTTAGATCTTCTTGATAGCGGTGGCTGTTGTGTGTTTGTTGGTGATAGATTTGAGCTGGAATCATAAGGATCCCCATATTCATCCTTTTTATTTGGAGTGTATGTTATCTGTAAAGAATAAATAAATGTTTGGATTTTTTTTTTCCAATAATTGTATTGAAATTACATTTTATAGTCAATTGAACAACTAAACTGGTATTTAAAAAAATCTAATTGGGATCCAATCCCATTTTAAAGAACAGAACAGGAATACAAAAAAAAGTAAATTTAAGTAAGTTGAATTACTAATTTTTTTTGTTAAAAATACTGTATCTTAAAAAAAATGGTATGGTATGTGAATTAGATTTTTTTTACTGTATTTGGAATACATTAAGTTAACACTGACAATAATATGTTCGGGAAAATGGCATGTACTACAGTATAACTGCAGCAATTATTTGATCAGATGGATGTGGATTTGTTATTCACCCAAAAGTCAACAGAAATGACGACCTTGAGACTAAACAATACCCAGTGTGCAAACTAGTAACCATGTACTTCAATGTGGAATCTTACTTCAAACCAATATTACAAAGGCAAAACTTGGATGGATGGATGTTTATTACTAAATAAAAATAAGAAATCTCCATTCTTAATTAATCTAAGTATAATTTTGTACACATATCAGAGATAGTCTACTTTCTAAGTTTTTATTTTATTTCCGTGCAGACAAAGTCATGGGCGAAAACTGGTATTTGAAAAAAGAATCCAGTCCATAAGTCAAATGAAATGTACATTTTTTGCAGGCATTTCGTGGTTTAAACGTAAATTAACATTTTAAGAGTTGAAACTTACAAATTATGATAATTTAGCTAAATACAAGTCATTATACGATAAACAAGTAAAACATAGTATTTCACGAAATTAACATTTTCAATTAAAAAAACGTTACACACAGAAAAATAAAAAAAAGTGTTGGATACCATTATTTACGTTGGAGCCGTCAACTTTATGGCTATTGGATAAATACATTATCGCGAAATTTAAAATTTTGTATAATTGAACTTACTGTAAGCGAATCTTTAGCAGGTTTGGGACTGCTGTTATCTTTTAAAAAGTGCAGAAGATCGTAAGCATACCAACTGGAAGTTGGCTGTTCATAGCCGGCATGTGTCTTCGTTTTAATTTTATTTATCTCTCTATTGTATTGAGTTCTTAGAGATACCATTTTTTTTTCCACTGCTCTTGTGTCTGTATTTGATTCTTGGGCTATAAAGTCTAAAGCTTCACGACGTTTCTGTCGGTTTTTAAAATCTTTGTTTTGACTATTCCATAAACATGGGAATCCTTGTAACAGATTTATGAATTTTATTGTTTCGGCTTTCGTCCACTCCATGTTCATGATTCCTTTGCGTAAACAAATGAAACACGTTCTCAAACAAGTTTCGATAAAATCGAACTGCAATGTGAATGTCAAACTTGACAATAACAATTCATCTGTTTAATTTAGTTTTTCAAATGTATGTTATCAATGCAAATGCAAATAGAGAAAACGAGATATCAACGAGTTTTACATTCAAAGCAAAATATCGACATTAATACGGGGTGGGAACGCGACTCAACACAATCACAACATGTCAAGAAATTTTTCCATACTATGTGTGTGTTTCGTAACTTTATAGGAAGGCACAGATAATATAAACAAAAGTTTGTACTACCATAGATTTATGAACCGTAGAATATTTTTCATTTAAACACACAATTGAAAACTGTTGATAATCGAAGTAGGTAGTCACAGAACACATTTACTCTTCCAACAAGCACACTCATGCCTATTTCAGCAGTTTCTATTCTGTAGAAATCAATCAGTGTAGCAACCAAGTAGCAACAGCACAAAAATAAACATCATAAACATTGCTACGTGTCTATGGTCGGGTGTCGCGTAAAAGTTAGGTTATGTTTAGTTTTTGTTATGTGAAATGAAGACATATATGATACTTAATTGTGTTTAACATTTTGATTAGTGGGGTTAAGTTTGATTTAATGATGGAAGATCAGACGACGGAAGAGACAGGGCCTGTTGATAATGCATGGGCGATTAAAATTCCAAAATTTACTCCTGAAGATAATCCTCATGGACTACTAGAAGAAAGTAAATTTGCAACTTTATTTCCCAAATATCGTGAACAATATTTAAAAGAATGTTGGCCGCTTGTACAAAAAGTTTTAAAAGAGCACCATATAATAGCTGAATTAGATCTCATAGAAGGAAGCTTAACCGTTAAAACCACAAAAAAAACATGGGATCCTTACATTATTATCAAAGCAAGAGATTTTATGAAACTGCTTTCTAGAAGTGTACCATTCGAGCAAGCTTCCAGAGTGCTTGATGATGAAATTGGGTGTGACATTATCAAAATAAACTCCTTTGTTCGCAAAAAGGAAACATTTTTGAAAAGACGACAACGCCTTATTGGTCCAAACGGAGTGACACTTAAATCTATAGAATTATTAACTGAATGTTATGTTCTTGTGCAAGGTAACACTGTATCAGCCGTTGGTCCTTATAAAGGCTTAGTCCAAGTAAGGAGAATTGTAGAGGACACTATGAAAAACATTCACCCAATGTATAATATTAAAAGTTTGATGATCAAAAGAGAATTAATGAAAGACCCTAGACTAAGAAATGAAAGCTGGGATAGGTTCTTGCCTAAATTTAAGAGTAAAAATGTACCACGGAAGCAACCAAAACAAAAGGTCAAAAAGAAGCCTTATACTCCATTCCCTCCGCCTCAGCCTGAGAGTAAAATTGACCAACAACTGGCCAGTGGTGAATACTTCCTCAAGGATGACCAGAAGAGAGCTAAAAGACGACATGAAAAAGAAGAAAAACAGCTGCAAAGTAAGAAAGCACGAGAAGAAGAAAGGAAGAAGGATTACATACCACCTCAAGAAAAAGTTAACAAAGAAGATGTTTCCAATGAAGCTACAGTGGATATAAATAAATTTAAGGCTAAAATGAAAAAGGCATCTAAACAACAAAAACATTTATCAAAATGATAATTTTACAGTTGAATAAATAAATGAATTCATTACATTTTATTTTCGTAGCTTCAGTTTTGGTACTTGATTATTTTTCCCAATAAATGGCTTTCCATTGATAAAGGGCTGTAGTACTTTGGGTATGAATATTTTCCCCTTTGGGTCTTGATGTGTTTCGAGCAATGCAATCAGCATCCTTGGAATAGCACATGCAGTGCCATTCAAAGTGTGAACATAACTATCTTCATTATTTTCAGTATACTTAATATGTAATCTCCTTGATTGATAATCTGTACAATTGCTACAACTTGAAATTTCTCCATAAGAGTTCCGTCCTGGCATCCATGCTTCAATGTCATATTTTCTGAAAGAATTATTTCATTTTGATAACATTAATTATATCATGTCAAATATTATTTGTATAACTAGCTTTTGCCTGAGACTTCGAACATGGGGAATAAATAAAATTATACTAATATTATAAATGTGAAAGTTTAGATGGATAGATGAATGTTTGTTAGAGTTTGTAGCCTAAACGGCTAAACGGATTACGATGAAATTTGGCATAGATGTAGAGGATAGTCTGGAAGAACACATAGGCCATTCACTTTTGTTTTTTTCAATACCACGCGGACGGAATCGCGGGCGAAAGCTAGTACTTTATAAGTAGCTTATGCGATTCCAGACTATGATCTATGTACTACCAAATTTCACCGTGAATTGTTAAGCCGAAGACATTCAGTAACAAACATCCATTCCAACTTCATTTACAATAGAATGAAGGATGATAATGATAATGATAGTGTTCAAAAAGGTATAATTCAACCTTAAACTTAATTTGCCAACTAAACGATAATACCTGTAGGCTGGTGCTCCTAACTCATGAGGTGGCATATCCAACACTTTCATATGAAGCCCTAATGGTGTAAAAAGCTCCTCTTGGACATTCCTAATGTATTCCAACATGTCATCAGATTCTTGGGGTTTAGTTATTACAAACATCTCGACTTTCGTAAACTGGTGAACTCTAAAAGAAAAGTAGAAACAGAAATTGTACCTTCAATTGAGGATGTATATGGACAGTGGTTGCTTTGCTATTTCAGTGCATTCAAATGGGTGCTTGTTCAATTAACATTTTATGTAAAATAATATTGGTGTCTGAACAAGTTATGAGTCAATGCATAGAACAAAATTTAAGATGTAGTGTAAAAGGGTGCAGGGAAAATACAGAGTAGCTGCTACTGATTCCTTAAAAACTTTGATGCCAATGATACTAATTTAATTTGTTACAATATTTTAGTTTAAAAATCTACTCATTCCTAACTTTACATACCTATATGTACCTCTTTCCTCAACAACATTGGATGTTTCAGCTCTATAACATCTACTCACAGCTGCTAATTTCAAGGGAAGTTTATCCACATTATGTTTAGAATTAGACAGTAAGCCCGCTAAGGACATTTCTGATGTGCCCGATAAGTACATATCATGCCCATGATGACAAGGATCCAAGGAGTATATCTATAAAAAAATAATAGCACAATTTATAGTACTTAGCCTATTTGGTAATATCTCATAAGATTTATCATAATAAAATAAAAAGAATCTTACAAGTTGGTTATTTATACTAATGTAATAAAACATAAATACAGATTTTTCTATGTAGGATGTCCACAATCAGATATTTTTGGAGATAAAAAGCTACAATTACAACATGCTATATGCCACATATTTTGTCTGAAACTATATTTACCTGGGTCCTATCAGTGTTAATAGCCATTCCACAACCTTCAAGTAAATTTCTTGGCAATATATCTGGTACTGATATTAATAAAAAATCCTTGCCTAATAATGTACTAACTGTATACTTAATTAAAGCTTCTTCTAGTTCCGCTAATGCTCCAAAGTAGTAATAACTCTTATTACCACATGTATATCCCAATTTATCTGTTCTCATTAAGTTTAAAAGCTCTGTGATTCTACTGAATTCTAAAGGTTTGTTTTTACCAAAATCCTTTTTTTGGTTTATTTCGTGAATGACATGTGGCTCGTCAGCATAATTTCCGACAGTAGGATGTGTTCTATTTGGTAAAATGTTTAATTCTTTAAAAAGATTTAATTTTATTGAATCATAACAATGATCCCTATCTGAAGTAGTTTTCAAAGTTTTGTAAAGATATAAAGCTTTATCAATATCTCCTACACCTTTCCGTCTTTGAATGTTATTTTTAATTTCATTTATATTTTCAATATTGCAGTAATAGTTTAAATCAATATCAGGAAGTACACTTGACGAATATAATCTTATAGCATTGATTTTCCAACTAAAACTACTGCACCTATAAATATTATGTGGAATCATTGCAATAGTATCTTCTTATTCTTAATTAAAAATAAATATTCAGATATGCGAGTCAATTATTTACTTATTTATCGTGAAATGTAAATTCAGTTCAGACCTAGATATTAAAACCATATTTACAATTTTTTTGTTGTTGACAATGACATCAGACGTCAATCAACTACCAGCCAATCAATTTCAATTGCCGAAGTCTGTTTAAGTTCCACGCATAGCCGTAGTACTTGTTGTATTTTGTTGGTGTTGTTTTTAAATTCTAAAGTTAAAAATTCTATTCGTATAGTTTTCAAAAACAGTTAAATAACCTTATTATTTAGATAAACATTAAAAGTAAGAGAAAAGCAATATTTAAAATAATGAAATCTCTTAATTTTAAAATAACCGAGTGGTGCGAATTCTTTACTATAATTTTAGCTTCGATATCTGCTTTTTTTGAATGCGCGCCAATTTAGACAGTGACATTCATAAGTTAAGAAACATTGCATTTGTATATTTTAAAGTTGTGTGTATAATTACTTAATGAAAATTAACTTTTATAGGCTTCAGTAACAACTAAAACATGTTTTATCATTTGGGTAACCTAAAAATATCCTACCTTGTATCTTGACATAGTTTTGAAGTTGCTTGAAACTTACTCTATTGAAAATGCCTGGATTTATCGACACTGGTATTAAAGAAAGTACAGAAATCATCACAACTGATGATAACAACACATACAGTACATCATCAACTTGGTAAGTATAAAAACATCTTGCATAGTAAGCATGCATTCCCAACATTTGTATGTGAAGTAAAAGAAGCTTACCTTCCTTCCCTAGTTTAAAATGCTGAATGAATATAGTTCAATTATCCGAACACCAATGATAATCAGCACTACTGTATTTAAGTTTCATATTAGACACAAGAATTAAATCGGTTTTAATATCTTTTCTCACCTGGCAATGTGGAATGAGGAACACTCTGTTACCTGAGGTATTTTCTAACAATTAGAACTTTGGGGTAAAGCATTTGAGCAATCTGCTGCTTGTTTGTTCCCTTATATAAAAACCTCTATATTTATAAGTTGAATCGTCTGAATTTTAAAAATGTAATCTGATGTGAATTGACATTACATTTCATAATTGATGATAATTTATGTTACAGCTCGGGAAAAAAACATATTAAAAATGGGATACAATTAAAAATCACAAATATGTTTGGTGCTAAACGGAAAAGAAATTTTTCAGAGGAGGAAGGCAGTGATAATGTAAGTATATACAAAAATTTGTGTCTTTCAAATGTAACCTTTTTTTGAAAAATATTGGAACTTGTGTAAAGAACAAATAATTCTTATATATGATAATATCAATTATTGCAGAAAAAGATCAAATGTAATGATCAGGTCATTGAAGAAAATGAAATAAATGAGGTAAATAGAACAACTGACAATATAAGTACTGCTAAAATGGGAGTTAAAAAAGAGAATTCTGAAGAAGAATTTAAACAAGAAGAAAACAGTGATGAAAAAATTAACAACAATAGTAATTCCAATGAAAGTGGTAAAGAATTAACTAAACCAGTTACGGATATAAACAAAAATAACACAACACAATCTGCGGACACAGAACAATGTGATATTTGTGGACAATATTTAAATAATTCTGATATAATTTACTATCAAGGACATCCTCAGAATGCTGTTGAAGAATTTATTGCACTTACAAATGAAAAATTATTATTAGCATCAGGTAAATGAAAATATTTATCCCAATTCTTTATATTGCCTTCTGAGCAAATGCGAAATAAAACTTGTAAATAAAGAGAAAGGGCGAAGTCTACCTTAGGAAGGACTTTTTATTTTTTTTAGAGTTATTTACAGATTTTTTGTAATGGTCAATTGTATGTCTTTCTTAAAAAAGGCCCTTAAAACATTTATTGCCACTATCCATACAAATTCACTTTTGTATGTGTAAGTGTGTATGGTAGCTTGAATGCATCCTAAATTGCTTGGATAGTCATAGTGGTACTGTTTTTAAAGTAACTATTACTCTTTCTTGCATAATAAAAAAGGTTTTTTTTCTAGGTGATGACGGAGATATAATGGAAAGACCGCAAACAAACATAACTGGATTTTCAATATTTGATCAACATGGACATCTTTGTCCAATTGACGGTGGTTTAGTGGAAAGTGACGTAAGGATATATATGTCTGGGTATTTAAAATCTATTTGCGCTGACTCTCAGGAAATTGACGAGGATTCCATTCCTGTAAAAGATGTAGGTCCGATTATTGAATGGTATGTGTTTTTAATATTCGGTTCAGTGTTGCTTGTTTCAAGTTTGATGTTAATTTTATTTTATGCTTCAGGTTTATTCATGGCTTTGATGGTGGTACCAGAAATTGTATAACTCTATCTACGGAATTCGGTGAATACAATTTACTAAAACCGAGCGAGGCGTACACACCACTAATGGACAATTTGTATGAGAAAATTTGGCTCAGTAAAGTTGTTGTTGAATATTTGGAAGAAAATCACTATCTTCAACCTTCATATGAAGACTTAGTTGGCATTATATGCCAATCAGTCATTCCCGAACTAAATGATAAGAAAATGTCCGAGGAAATGTTGCATAAACATGCGCAATTTGTTTGCGACCAGGTCGTTAGTTTGGAAACTGGTGAAGATGATGAACCATTGATCACCCTTCCGTGTATCAGAGAGTTAATTAAGCTGATGGGCATTAAATTTGGTAAGAGAAGAATTCGGGCAAAGATTGATTACAAGAAAGTGGATAAAAAGGCCTGGACCAAGGCAACAACTACTCCATTGGTTCAGAAGACTTTCGAAAGTTTCTTTTCCAATCAGTTGGATAAAACTAATCACGAATTGGTGTTAAGAAGGAAGAGATGTGGTGTTTGTGAAGCTTGCCAGTTGCCAGATTGCGGTGAATGTAACGCTTGCCGAGCGATGGCCAAATTCGGAGGTCATGGAAGAACTAAGAAAGCTTGCGTGCGTCGACTCTGTCCTAATATGGCCGTAGAACAAGCCGAGGACTCTGAACCGGAAGACGAAGAAGAATATCGTCAAATGGTAGAACGGAAAGAACGAGATAAAATAGATGACGCGGTACCTGTGAAACTCACAGGCTCAAGTAATAGAAAAATAACATGGGTGGGGGAGCCAATTAAAGCGGATGCTACCAAAGTTTACTATGAGAAAGTAGAAATTGACGGCGCAGAGCTTCGTATAGGTGACTATGTGATGGTCGAAACTTCTCAGGCCAACATTCCAGCCTTAGTTACTAGGGTTACTTATATGTGGAAAGAATCTATTAATCTAAAGAGTGGTTATTTCCATGGCGAAGTTTTTATAAGATCGTCTGATACAGTGTTAGGTGAAGTAGGTGATCCGAGAGAAGTGTACTTAGCTGACCGTTGTTGCCACGGGGCTCCGCTGTCTTCTATTTTAAGGAAAGCCAATGTAGAGAGAAGAGAGACTGCTAAAGATTGGTTCAAACTCGGCGGTAAAAGCGTCGATGAAGAATTTTTCGAAGATGACGGAAAGACATATTTTTACAACAAATACTATGAAAGGTTTATGGCTCGCTTCGAAGATCTACCGGTGGATCCGATCTGTCCTAACGAATTAAGAAAACATAGATATTGTCCGTCTTGTGAAAGAAAAACTAGAAAAGATGCAAAAGACATTCCTAAGGTGTTTGGAAAACTGATGGAAAAATCTGCAGTTGTGACCGAATCTAATAGAACTGAATGGACTTCTATTAGATGGCAAGATTATGAATATAAGAAAGGCATGGGCGTTTTTCTTAAACCTGGCACTTTTAAACTTAAGAATAACTTTATTACCACAAATACCAACAACAATAAAACCAAGTTAGATAAAGTAGACGAGGATGTTTATCCGGAGTATTATCGTAAGAGTGATAGTAATTTACGGGGTTCTAATGTGGACACGGGCGAACCATTCTGCGTGGGCCACATAGCTGCGGTGACGGCGGCCGGCGAGGGCCCTCTCGTCGTCCCACAAGACATCTATATCAAAGTTAATATTTTGTACAGACCAGAAAATACTTCGAATCGCTTTCCACAGCAGGAAGATCTGAATGTCGTATACTGGAGCGATGAAATCAAAGAAATTTCTTTCTCCTCTGTAGTCGGACCGTGCCATTTGATCTATGAAAGGAATGTACCGTGTCAAGAAACACTCCACGAATGGCTCGAAAGGGATCCGACTAGATTTTACTTCAGAATGGCCTATAACAAATCGACTAAAGAGATCGAAGATGTACCGCAACACGCCGCCGCCGTCGGTAGAACTGACAAAGGCAAAGATAAGGGCAAAGGGAAAGGAAAATCTTCTAAACCTGTAGAAACAAATATCAACAAACACGAAGAAATCAAAATAAGACCGTTAAGAACCCTCGATATTTTCGCCGGATGTGGAGGACTTTCGGAAGGATTGCATCGATCCGGTGTCGCTGAATGTAAATGGGCCGTCGAAAACGTCGAGGCGGCTGCTCACGCTTATTCATTAAATAATAGAAACTGTACAGTTTATAACGAGGATTGTAACGCACTTTTGAAAGACGTTATGTCTGGATCTACGCATAGCAAAGGCGGGATGAGATTACCTATGCAAGGGGAAGTGGAACTTCTCTGCGGCGGCCCTCCCTGCCAGGGATTCTCCGGCATGAACCGATTCAACTCCCGCGAATATTCCAATTTCAAGAATTCTCTGGTCGCCTCGTACCTTTCCTACTGCGATTACTATCGTCCCAAATACTTTATTCTGGAAAATGTAAGAAACTTCGTGGCTTTTAAGAAGGGAATGGTTTTAAAGTTGACTCTTCGGGCGTTATTGGATATGGGTTATCAGTGTACGTTCGGTATACTTCAAGCGGGGAACTACGGCGTGCCTCAAACGAGGCGGAGGCTTATAATTTTGGCCGCAGCGCCCGGGTACAAGCTTCCCATGTATCCGGAGCCGACTCACGTGTTTAGTAGAAGAGCTTGTTCTTTAACTGCGACTATCGATGGCAAACGATTCGTAACAAATATGAAATGGGACGAGTCAGCGCCGCGACGGACGTGCACTATCCGCGACGCCATGAGCGACCTGCCCACTATAGCGAATGGCGCAAACCAAATAGAAATCGAATACGGCTCGATGCCAGAAAGTCACTTCCAACGTTTAATCAGAAGTAAGGATGAAAGTAAGAAACTGCGAGATCATATTTGTAAGAACATGGCTCCTCTGATCCAAGCCCGCATTGCTAGGGTACCGACGACTCCGGGATCCGATTGGAGAGATCTACCTAACATATCGGTCATGTTGTCTGATGGAACAAAGTGCAAGGTAAAAATACGACGTTATTCGCATACAAATCAATGTTCGATATGTGACTTTTTATGTATTCAATTATGTGGACAGGTGCTGCAATATAGGTATGAAGACAAAAAGAATGGGCGTTCTTGTAACGGTGCGTTGCGCGGCGTATGTGCGTGTGCTAGCGGCGGTGCGTGCTCGCCGCACGACAAGCAGGAGAACACGCTGATACCGTGGTGTTTGCCGCACACCGCCAACCGACACAACAACTGGGCAGGCCTCTACGGTAAGTCACAAACACGCTATACGCAGACAAGAATGTGTACGCACAGACACAATAATGTTATACGCACAGACACAAACACATTAAGACAGCAATTTACCTTTACGTCGTATTAGCCGAACGCGGATACACGATAAAACCTCTTAAAGTAACTTATCTGGTCTCTTTAGTAGCGTTTTTGCCTACCTGGGCAGTTGTTTGTGAATTTGAGCGCGTTGTCAGGTCGGCTGTGCTGGGACGGGTACTTCAGCACGACGGTGACGGACCCCGAGCCGATGGGCAAGCAGGGCCGCGTGCTGCACCCGGAGCAGAGCCGCGTTGTCTCGGTGCGGGAGTGCGCGCGCTCGCAGGGATTCCCCGACTCCTATCTCTTCGCAGGCTCCGTACAGGATAAACATCGACAGGTATTTTCAAATTTCAACACATTCAGTTCTTTCTATTCATTTTACTGTTGTTTCTTTAATACTCTATAATAATAAGTAATCTAGATCCAATGTATGAAAGCCAAAAATGTGTTTTTTTGTCATTTGAAATGTTTGAATTTGGCCGAGAGTTGTCTCTTTTGGTCGCTAGCAGGCTCTAATTTTTTTTTACAATATTTAATTTGATTGGTGGCGATTTCGCATATATTTGTGACTGTAAACATCTCAATTATTAAACGAAACGCAGAATTATAATTAACAATAATAGATCCTAAAGTAAGATTGAATTAGGAATATAGTTCTAAGAAATAGTTTTATTTCCAGATAGGCAACGCTGTGCCGCCACCGCTCGGAGCTGCTTTGGGTCGTGAAATTAAAAAGGCTTTTAGTATATCGAAAATGTAATAAAATGTAAATATCATGTTGATTTAATATTTTAATTATGGACCATTGTTTAATATAACATAAGAAAATAAACGTATTTTTATAAATTGGTTTTATTAACTGCAAACTAACACTTATATAAGTATTATGTCCAAGAATATAGAAATCTTGGCGTGGAGCTCTGAAAATAACTTCCTTATTACATATCTTTATGTGCGCAAAGGTTCTTGTATTTATGGACAGACTATAAACAATTTTAATAGAATTTCATCTGGGTAATGATTACAAGAGTGAAAATAAATCGAAAAAAAAAAACCAATGTTTTACTTTCTGTTTTTTATTACATTTTTTGTTTTCTGTTTCAAACTTTTCACTAATACACTCAATTCAGCATCTTCTTTAGACTTCTTTGGCTGGGTCTGTTCCTCGGCAGCTTCTGCTGGCCGCCGCTTTAACTTCTCCTGGATAAGTTTCTCCATATTCTTTGTCTTTTTAAAGTTAGGATCACTTGGATCAATATTGTACAAATGTGAATTGTATAATGCATTAAAACGTTGGTCGTTCAGATTTATTTCAAAATCTGGCAACGCTTTCTGTTCTTTCATTTTCTCTTTTAATTTCTTTTTCCTCTTTGATTTTTTATCAATATTTTCCGATTCCTGAATTTTCTTTAAACTAAAATGTTGTTTACCATCATCCTCGTCTAATAGTAATTCCAATTCCGCTCTTCGTTTATCATCTTCCTCATCTACTTCAGAATCACTTTCTTCTTTTTTATCTTTTTTGTCTTTTTTCTTTTTGAATTCAGATTTCTCGAATTCTTCAGCAAAGTAAGGATCATTCATATCTATGTCTGAAGGGATATCGTCAGGTTCCTCTTCGTCGGAATTTGTTTCCGTGTTTTCTTTTTGGTTCTTTTCCAGTTTACGCTGCTTTTTCTTTTCTTTACGTTTTTGTAGAAGTTTTTCGAAAGGCGTTAAGTCTTTACTGTCTGAAAAAGCGAAGGGAACCCATTACAAAAATAAATTAAAGAGTCAAAATGAATCCTCTGTCTTTTTTTCTTATTAAAAACTTACCTTCGTTTAATTTCTTCTGAACCAATGCTTCTGCTTTGTCTTTAATACCAAGACCCCAAGTTATCTCCATTTCCATATCTTTGTTTTGTTTTTTCTCTTCTTTCTTTTCAATATCTTGTAACAACATTTTATATTTTTGAATCGGGTCTTCATTATCTGAGACATTTTCTGGTAAATCTTCATCTTTGTCGGAATGATTTTCCTCTTCTGAAATTTGAATGATTGTTATTAAGATATTCTGTCTCCCCCGACTTTGTTTGGATGAAATTGAAACAAGTAGCCTATTTATTAATTCAGACAATGTATATATCTGTTAAGCTGCTTGGAAGATATTTACTAACAAACATCCATTCATCTAAACTTTCACATTTATAACATTAACAAGTACCTTCACTACTAGAAGCCAAATAATCTTTTAGGTCTAGATCATCTATCTTCCCGTCAAGTGCACTCTTGATGGCCTCGGTGCGGTTGGGGTTGGTTGCATCCCATGTCAGCTGCACCTTGGCCTGCTGCAGCGCAGTGGTTGTGAACAGCCGAGGCTTGTATCTACTTAGATCCGGCAGCTTTGTGCACTCTTCTCTAGCCTCCTACAAATATAGTTAGTAGACATTTATTAATTAGCTGTTGTCAGAAAAAGTCTTAATTTTTAAATTATGTGTTCTTCAAGACTTTTTTTACATCTATGGAAAATGTCAGCAAGATCTGTATAGTTGTTCTGCAGTATGAGATATTTAGTAACCAACATCCATCCATTCAAACTTACGCTTTTATAATATTAGTCAAACATATGATGTGCAAATTTATCATATAATGCCCTCATAAGAAAAAAAAAACAAACATAGTTTAATTTTTTTTGGTGATTATGTAGGCTTACAAGTCTATTAGGCTCCCTTTCCAAGCTGCATAGTTTTAATAAAGTTCGAATCCTGCTACAGTCATATATATCGAGTTTTCTTACTTAACACTATTGTTTTACCTGATCAAATGTGACATCATCAGGTATGAATCTCATATCAAGTCTGGTCGCACTACTCTCATACTCCATCCCGTCACACTCACTGTACAGTTTGTCTGCAGTAACCACCGTGTCACATTCAACCACCGCATAGTAATACTTCAGCCTGTTTAGTTGATACTTTCTCAGTTTCTCCATGTGATATGTTGACCCTGGAAGGTTACAAAAAGATTGTTTATATGGATCTAGCCTAGAAAACCTGAACACTTAATGGTTAGACTATGAACTTCCCATCACATGGTTCCAAAAAAATAATGGCAGTTAGTTATGACTATAATAACTACAAAAATAATTTTATAAAAAAGTGTTAGTTGTTGTCCAAAGATATTGTTGTATTTGAATTTCAATAAATAGTGATGTATAATATGAAATAAATAATAATTAATATGTAAGAACTTTGATCGGAGACTCTGTCAACATGGAATTAAAAAATTAAAAGTGAGTATCCTATATGTTCTTCCAGACTATTCTTTACACCTATGCCAAACTTCATTGAGATCCATTAAGCCATTTTGGCTGCTTTAACAAACATCCATCCATCCATCTAAACTTTTGCATTCATAACATTAATAAGATTTTAAAATCTTACCTTCCTCATTTCCCCCATCATCTGACAGATCCTCAGCTTTTTCCTCTGTTAATTCAATTGGTCCTCTTACCTCCTCTTCCTTTAACCTCTGTAGACCATATTCAGATGGATAAATCTAGAAAAGAGAATATTTTAATTCAGCTTGCAAAATCATAATTAAAAACAATACACTAAGAACAATGTTATAAGGCTTAACATATTTGTGCTAGTGACGTTTTTGAGTGAGACAATTTTTGATAATAATTATTGTATTTCTTTCAATACAATAAATCATTTAAACACAATTAGATATAACTTACAGTTATCTTATGTATAACACCTCCGGGTGGTAGAAATGAACTAAGTAACACCATTATATCTGTTGCTTTGATGTTATCCCAATCCATGTTGCATATTGCTATCCTGAAAATATAATATAATACAAGCTTTCGCCCATAACTTCATCCACATAGAATTAATATACTAAAATGAGTATAGCCTATATGTTCTTCCATACTATCCTTTACATCTATTTCAAATTTGATCTAGATCCTTTCAGCCATTTAGGCTACAAACTCTAATATCCATCCATCAAAACCTTTGCATTAATAATATTAGTAAGATAGCTGTCACATAAATTATAACATGCCTAAACTTACATGATAACATTCGGTGTAGGCACCGACAGTTTCGAACCTATTGGGGGTCCTTCTTCAGGGTGAGCGAGTATACCCGATCAGTGACCGTCGCGACGCGATAGCGAGTATACCCGATTAATCACTCACCCTGAAGAAAAACCCCCATCGGGTTCGAAACTGTCGGTGCCTACACCAAATGTTATCACGTGAGTTTGGCCGTGTTATAATTTATGTAGTATAATGTCTCACGAAAGTTTTAATAAGTTAAGATAGCTGTCCTTTTATCATGTTTACATGAGTTATACAGTTGAATAAAATCTAATATTGGGATTCATAAAGAGACAGATCGCTACTTGATGGGATATATAATTTCAAGTCACCTTCTAGTAGATTCATCAGTGGTGTCAGCATCAGCATCCAATTCCCCCCACTCATGCTCCACCTCACTGTCCTGATCCTCCTCACTACTGTCTTCATCACTCGAGCTGTCACTCAGGAGCATCCCTATAAGCAAACATTGTCTCTTTTTAGTATATAATCTCCTGAAGGAAAATGGTAGGAGATATTAATTTCCACAATGAGTGGTACATCCTCAACAATAATGATTAATAAAAAATATTTAACTTTTTCATATCACTAACACTTCACTATAAAGATGTAATTATTATTGTCTTAAAACTTAATTTATTGTAGGATTTACACCTACCTTCACCACGGGCATAATCAATATCTAAATCAAGCAATTTGTTCTTGGTCTTCTTGTCCAATTTTCCCCTAATTAATTTATCGTTAACTGATTTTTGATCCTCTTGTTCTTCTTCTTCCTTGTCCTCGCTCGGGGCTCTCCGTACAAAACGACCTGCAGACTCACTTTCCTCTTCTTTTTCTTCCAATTTATCTCCATCATCAGATTCTTCTGCAGAACTCTCAGAATCCTCGAGATCGTAGTATTTTCTTAAATTTTCAGTTGAAGTTTCGTTGATAGGTCGACCCCGTTTGTCTACAGTGTATTTTACTTTGAACTTATCATCTTCGAACATAGACTGAAATCTTTTGTCAATCTTAACTTTTCTCTCATGTTTAGGTATTTGCCTGTAGCGGGGATCGTTAAGATACTTTGTAAAACGGCTATCTTTCAGTATGTCACTCATGATTGTTAGGTTTAGTGTTTGTCAAATATGTATATCTTGTTGAAATTTTACAGAATGGTATTAACTTATCATTTTATCAAATACATCGGTAATCGGTACTATTTAGTTTTTAACTATTTAACCTTAAAACTTAAAAAAACAATATTGGTGTTGGTCCACGTTACAATGACATTGACATTTTCGAATATTTGTTTGACATTTACAGAAAATAGTCCTACGCAGTTATTACAAATGACAAAAACATAATTGTGTCTTTATAAAAATCTTGCTTTTTATTTAAAATTTACACTCGTTACAGGTTTGATTCGTTATAGATAATATTGTCACATAAGTTAGAGTTAATTGTTTATTAAAAATAGATCTCGTTACTATTGGATTGGAAATTTTTGTGCTTCTGTCAGATGTCGACAATTTTGTGACATGACAAATGTCATTTGATCGAGTTATTTTTTTAAGGTTAATTTCGTTTTTGTATGACCTGATGAACTTTGCTTACACTCTTCGATAGAACACTAGAACTAGAAGTTATTGATTGATATTAACATGAATAGTATAGGCGAAGAGTGTACCGATTTAAAGAAAAAATATGACGACTGCTTCAATAGTTGGTTTTCAGAGAGATTTTTAAAAGGTGATCATGACGATTCTGTGTGTTCCGGTATATTTAAAGTTTATCAAGATTGCGTAAAGGTTGTGCATATTTACGTAACAAATTTATTTATTTACAAAATTTACTTTCGTTTATACCATACATTAAATATTTTTGCAGAATGCTATGAAACAACAAAATATTGACTTTAAGGAGATTGATAAGGATGTGCTGGGCACTGACAATGAATTCAAAGCACCACCAACAGGGAGCAGTTGACACAAATACAGTGTAATGTGCACTTTCACCCCTATAATGAATTGTGTATTCAAAAATGGGGATATCTTTAAGTGTCAAGAGTAATCAGTGTTATAATGCAATAGAAAAAATGATGAAATACAATGTAATTGTTGATGAACTGTTAATTTAGTGTTAATGTAATCTCTCAAATTTTTTGAATGTTACAAAAGTGTATTTTATTTTAAATGTTGGCACTTTTTCCGTGGTTATTAAAGTTCTATTTAATGCCCTAACATTAATCAGAAAGTTGACATTTAGTAGATTTATAATGGATTGTGTTATTGTACTAGGGTACTGTAAAATCATTCCATTTGATTAAGATATGACTTGACCACAAATATATATCCATATAGAACTTTGTAACAAATGTTAAATCCTTCTTTATATTTGTAAAAATGTATATTTGCTTCAATATAAGAGCCATTTAAGTTGCACATTTAATTTTTGTAATTGTTAACTAAAGCCTAAATGTGAATTGTGGTAGTAAATAGTTATTGTGAAATTTGCAGTTTTTTTTATAATTGTAATTAAAAACTTCTTAAACTAAATTATTTAAAAATAGTGTAAAATGAAATCTTGGTAACTGCCGGTAAGAAATATTAAAAATATTTTTTCAATTGAACATAAATTATAGAACTATGAGACCTATATTTACAACAGATTGCTTAGTCTATGACTAGTGATGAAAAAAAAGTATTTGTTGAATTAATATAATTTAATTATCTTAAGTCTTGCAACAATTATCGCTGGCTGGTATCTCTGGGACGGTATGCAATACCTCTGCTCTTCATCTCTCTGATCACTCCAGCGGGAAGACGACCAGACACTGATATAGCATAAACACCGGGACAAAATCGACCTGCACAAAAAAAATCAAATTGAGAACCTTAAAGTTTTGGAAGTTGGCCCAATAAATAAAAAAAGGCAAGGAACTCTGTATCACTGACACAATTCATACCACTTAAATTTCTTTAGCTAAACTGTGGCATTTAATTTTGTTAATAATTGATCTGAAGTTCAAAATTTACAACAGAATTAACAAAGATGTTAGAGTATTTTCCTATTTGGTACTTGGTTGTAGTTATTAGTAAGCATATAAGTTTATAGCTGACACTAGTGGTTTATATTAAAGGTAACACATTATTTGTTTGATTCGTCCAAAAGATGAAAAAGATCGCTTACTTATTCTTTGCCATTTGCAAACCCAACTATCTTCAGGACTCATAACTGCTATCATACTGAAAATTGAATTACATATTTATAAGACATTTCAAATAACAATACAGTATGTTTGAAAAAGGATATTAATAAGCCAATTAAAGGTAATGCTTATTAAATTTATATAGAAATGTTACCCGTCAAAATTATTGCTAGTACAGTCGTAAACATTATCCTTGTTACTTTTCATTCGGAGGAATTCGTCACAATTATCGCAGCCATAGTATTCGAATTGTTCAAATGTCTGGAAATATAACGTATTTACCAAAAGTCTTCCTTGTTTACTTGTAATTAAATAGGATTTGCTACAAATTACCTTAATTAATGAACACACTAAACAAGCCCTCAATCCCCTTATATCTTTGGGTACCACATTAAGTGACATAATTGTTTGATGTAACGACGCACTAGAATACAAATTGTTGTAAGATTTTTCTTAATTTTCAATAAAAAACAATATTTTTATGCTCACAAGCATCAAAATTCTTTTGATAATTATAATTTGTTTTTGGTTAATGTCAAGTCAATGCCGACGTAGATTGTCACCTTATTTGAAGTTGACATTTATTTTTTTCTCAATGTCAGTAATTTTCTTCTGTGCACGTTATGCCAGTTTTTAATCAATTGTTCTATTGTTACTTAAATAGTTTTCTTTAAATATAAAAGTTTCATATAACAAAACATACAACGGTTTCATTTAACTTTAAATGTAAATACTCGATACGATTAATTATGATTTGGAAATGCTCCACTTAAATTGAGGTTTGCAATCATCGCTATACAATGGTACACGTTGTATATGTCTAGATGGCGCTTTATTTAATTATTAAGCACAAAAAATTCTATTGTTATTTAAAAACTTTTGCGAATAAAAATATGCTCCTACGCAATTCGCAAACTTTTGATTATAATAGTTAATTAGAAACTCTTAGCAAGTTCATATTAAAAATCAAAATTTTTATACCTTTGATGATTGAGATTGAGTAATATTTTGATGCGACGACAAACTGAACAGCATCTTTTTTTTGAATAACAATAAATATATTACTTTTACCAGAAGTAAACGTATTTCAAAATTATATATTGAACTTTTGCAGATGGTACTTTTGAATCATAACAACAGTTATGAAGCGCATTTTTAATTTGAGGGTAGATCGATACTGAAACTTGGGACGTCTATTGTTAACTAATTACCCGTATAGATGTATAACTTTGTATGCATTTGCTATAAATTCTGCGTTCTCGTGTCGTTTAATGTTTTAGTTTTTTGTCAGCGTTGTCGTAAATACAGAAAAGTTATATATTTTGTTGATTTTTAGATATTTCATTATGAGTACTGTTCAGTTTACATATGAAGGGGAAGAAAATCTGCCTGTGGTCACATCTGCTTCGGTTACCGTAAGTTGGAATTATTTGGCTTTTAATATTGTTAAGTAGGTAGTCAGGTAGAAATTCAGTAGTTAATTGTTATCGTAAATTATAAGCACTAAATAGATAATAGTTACTTTTAGTATTAAAGTATAATTATTTAATAAGTTCTAGTACTTTATTAAATTGGGAGTTCTAGAAATTATTTTTTAATTTTGGATGAAGTACATAATAATGTAAATAAGGTAGGGTAGTTAAGGTCAAAGTCGTAAAAACTGTTAATCTGTACTAATATTATAATTGTGAATTTTTGTATGTATTGAAATAACTCAAAAACTACTGGGTCAATTTTAAAAATTCTCTCTCCGTTAGAAAGGTAATTTATCTGTGAGTAACATAGGCTATATATTTTAATTTCGCGAGGACGAAGTTGCGAGCAACTGCCTGTTATTAATAATTTGCTTATTTTGAGTGTGGCTGGAGCGTCAAGAAGTTCCGAAAGTTGTTTTTTTTTTAAACAGAATGGCACCGCATCAGACCAGATAGTAGATTCGACGCAGAGCAGTGTGTTCTCACCTTTAGCGCCGCCGTTTGAGAGTCGTTTGAACAATATGCAGAACCCAATGCAGTACTCCCATCCTAACGCTACAGGTAATGCTCTTATTATTACACCCCTTACTATGTGTTTTCAAAGGTCTTTTCCATTAGCCGTTGTTATTAGTTTTTCTTATTAAATTTCTGTAGCTAAGTATCTATATTCGTATGTTTATGTTAATTTTATAATGATTTTTTCTCGTAACAGCTAACAGAGATTTTGACCAGCCAATGATGAACATTAGGACTAATAATTCTGACGTACAGTTTGACGACATCGGTTCCAGTTCCCACAATTATACTTTGAGTAAGTTGTTTTTTTTTTATCATAAGGAACAAGGAAAGTTATCAAGCGGTCTCCAGAAGGTTTTTTTTTCATCAAAAATTTACACATTAATATTATATTATTTATATAATATAATATTAAAGAACATATAAAGGATGAACAATGATTTTTATTTAAATACTAGCTTTCGCCCACGGCTCCGTCCACGCGTAATAATAAAAAAAAATAAGTAGCTTATGTGTTCTTCCAGACTATCCTCTGCATATATCTCAAATTTCATCGAGATCCGTCTAGCAGTTTACGCTACAACCTCTAATAAACATCCACCTATCCATCCAAACTTTCTCATTTATAACATTGTAAGAATAAGATAATAAGATCTTTGTTTTTAGATGGCAACCCGATGACCGCTGATGCGACTTCTGCCACACAGAAGAATGTTTGTGGCGACGTAACTGACGCACCTCCTGCGAGGAACGAAAATTTCGTCGGTGCTTATGACTTCTTGATTAAAAGTTCGTAAACAGTATTATAGGATTGTTTTTATTTATTTTTATTTATTGTTGTAAAATTGTGACTGGACATCTTCATTTCGTTACCGGTATCTATGTAACGTTTGTGTTGTGACGTCAGGTATGACGTCAGCCAACCTGTACGTGTCGATGCTGAACCCGGAGCAGCTGGCGGTGCTGAGCTCGATGCGGCCGAGTGTGCTCTACGACTTCCTGCAGGAGGTCGTCAAGGCGTACGGCAACAGGCGTGTCAAGCGACTGCCTAATGTAAGTTTACCTTTAATATACTATGTTTTTTTTAGCAAACTCTCCACTTCCAATATCTTAAGGTTTAAGTTATATTAGTTGTGCACCTATGTTTCTCTAAGTTATAAAATTGTTTTAAATGTTTTTGTGTTAGAAGAGCTCTTAAGCATGGGAACGCCTCTAAATTATCTCACAACTGCTTGCTTAGTCGGGCTTTGATTTCTATGAGCTTATATAGAGGTGGACACAACTCGATTTTTAGTTGTGTAAACTAAACAGTTGAATTGGCTGCGAAACAGTTGACAATCGCACAACTGTTGTGCGATAATTTAGCAAAAGGTGTGTGCTCGCTTTTCTCCGACCTGGGTACAGAAAGGTTCTAAGTTAGAATATTCGTCCAATGTACTTTTTCTACAGGAGTGTGCGTTCTGTAAGAACAACGGCGAGGAGGAGGAGTGCTATATGTCGCACTCTCTGAAGGATTTTCGCGGGCGCGTGTTGTGCCCTGTGCTTCGCGCCTTCCGCTGCCCGCGCTGCGGCGCCACCGGCGACCGCGCACACACCATTAAGTATTGTCCGGAAAATCCAGAATCTGGTACGTAGACTTCGAATTTATAGCTAATTGTCATTCAATTTTGTACACTTAAGTACGCTTATTGGTGTTATAACTGTGTACACTTATCTGCATTATTAGGTGTTACAACTATGTGCACTTATATGCACTTTTAGGTATTAAACTGTATACACCGATATACACTTTTTGGCGTTACATCTATACTTACATGCACTTTTTGGTGTCACAACTGTGTACAATTCTATGCACTTCTAGGTGTTACAATGCAACAACACAACAAATATACATCGAAAAGTGGATCCTTTATTTTGTTCATTTTTATTTCCTTAGAGCGTTCTGGGGGATTCTTATATCGGCGTCGTGTATCAGGATCCAGTTTCCTGGTGAACGAGGCGGCGCGCGCGGCGCCGGCGATGTCCGCGGTGGCCGCCGCCGCGCCCGCCGCGCCTGCTGCCGCCAACAACCTGCGCTCCTCCATATGGTCCAGCTTCGCCATCAACTGATTGACAAAAATCTAAATAGACTAGTAACGTAAACTTAACATTATCCGTCGTTAGGTTTACTTTTTTTAACAATAGAAGCTAAGGTTTAACTTTATGGTCAAGCTTAATTGTGAATTGACTGAATAATAATCCTGTATTTTAAAGTGTTGATACTGGAAATAGTGTAGGTGTTTGTTGATGTGTAAGAGTCCGGCGAGTTCGCCTTGCTATGTGAGATAGTGTGTGCGAGGCTCGGCGGGCGCTCGCGGGCGCACTCGGCCGCCGGTATGCGGGACATACCGCGACTGACAATGTCGCACTGCGCCCAGCGCCCAGCACCCAGCGCCTACACTACACGTTACCTTTTTTACCTTTCATTGCTTATCTTTTTATTTTTTTAATTTTCACTGGGACCAATAGGAACATATTTTATAATTTACTTTCCACTTGAAGTATCTAAAAAAAGTTACTTCTCTAAACTTCCAATTAAGCAGGAATAAATATTGAGTATTTAAAAAAAAATAAAAGTGTTTATCTCCGTATTTTCGTTGTTATAAATCTGTTGTATATTTTAGTAAAACTTTGGATTCATTAAATTTGAAAGTCATAATTTTTGATTCGGTTATTTTAAATTGTTTATTTGGTTATGGTGTTTCGTATTTTAATATTGGAAATGTCTTATCGATCATTGAAAAGTATGTATTTATAATTGAATTTGGTGTCATCGTGGACATTTTTACTTTTGGGATGGATTTTAATGCATTTATGAAAGCGAACTTCTCATTTATTTGGCAAATCATTTGGATGTAATTTTGATCAATGTTTTTCTAGGATTAAAATTTTTTTAAACTATTATTTTGTCAGTTAAAAGAATTTGCTTGTGGTTTTGGTGTTACCATTAACATTTTTTTAAACTTTATTTTGTTTCGTTAATTAAACTTTGTATAAATTTTTGAAAGTGTTTTATTTATTGGATTATTTGAGCTTTACGAGATATAAGCAATAAGTACATCAACTATTAAAAAACGTGAAAGGCCTAGAGCTAAGGTGCATACTCACCGACGTTACGTGGTGTAACGTTAAACGGCGAGCATTCATGCCGTAGTACTAGGTAGTAACATTCCTAAGATACATCTTATTAGAAAGGCTGATGAGTCTGCTAAAAAAATCTAAATTATTTTTTAGAAGTGTACCCCTTGTACACGAGCGCTACACGAAACTACAGATGCCAGGTTTTCAAAAAATGGCACGTTCGTCTCTTGAAGGGCGCTAAGTCGTTGGTTAGGAAATGTCGTCAAGAAAAGAACTTTCCAAAATGTGGCTGTGCGTGGCAGAAAGTTAAAACCGCAGGAAACTGGAATGTCGGCCTGTCGTATCGGAACTCTTCGGTAAGAAACATTATATCATAACAAATAATTAAGCGTAGATGGCGCTTAGCCTAAGCCTTGATACTCAATTACTGACATGGCTAATTTACTAAAAAAATCCTTACAAATTACTCAGTTCATCGAGTTGTAGTTAGGCAAAGATAATAAAACCCATCATCAATTTATATAAGTACTTTATTTCATGAAACAGATTTAATATTGTGTATTGTGAAATTCGTGTACATAAATGCCATAAGAATTACTTTAATTCAAAAAATTATGATGCCATTAACAGTTGAAAAATCTTACTACAAACTGAATAGAATACAAGAATCACATTAGAAAGTAATACAATAAAATGAAAGAAATGATAACCGTGATGAGAAAGTATTACAAAGAATTAGAAAATCCAAGACATCAATTTTCAATAAACCATCGTAAATAAATTTATTTTAAATTCAACATTGTAATTATCAAGTAATAAATAAAAATAACTTAATTAATATTTTTAAAGATTTATATTAATAGATGAATTTGAAATGCAAAATATTGAATCTGTTCCGATATTTAGTGAAAGTTATAGAATTAAAAGATAAGTAATAAAGGGTAAAAGGTAACGTGTAGTGTGGGCGCTGGGTGCTGGGCGCTGGGCGCAGTGCGACATTGTCAGTCGCGGTATGTCCCGCATACCGGCGGCCGAGTGCGCCCGCGAGCGCCCGCCGAGTCTCGCGCACACTATCTCACATAGCAAGGCGAACTCGCAGGACGCTAACATACCACCACTCCATACTTACCTACAGTACACTTGTCCCATTATATCAACCTATATAAACACGTTAACAGATTATGATTCAAGAGTCCACCAGTTTAAAGATAAGTTTGACAAAATTAGTAAATGAACAGAAACTTTTGTTACCAATAACGTAACACCTACTTTAAAATGAGTATATTCTAATTTGTATGATTGTTATCAAGTTATTTAAGAACTCCATATCCGTAAGCCGTTAGCGATAATAGTGTTTTAGTTGTGCTATTGTCTATGGTTAGAGTGCAAAGTTCTGCAATCAGTTCAAGGTGAAGCTTGACCACAAATGTGTGTTAAGGCCCGTGTCATTAGCAGTCGGAGACGGCAAGGGCGGGGTCGCCGCCGGTGCATGAACACCATCGTTCATGAAGAACGAAGATGCTGAGGAAAGTCGGCGTTGATACTGGTAGTCTCCGGAACGATTTAAACCTGCAAGAAGGAATTCATTTAGAGGATGCATTACTGGAATGTGTTTCCACTATTATGAAATAGTATTTAATATATACTTACTGTTTTCGGGATTATCAGGACAATATTTCTTGGTGTGAGCGCGGTCGCCGGTGGCGCCGCAGCGCGGGCAGCGGAAGGCGCGGAGTACCGGGCACAGCACGCGCCCGCGGAAATCCTTCAGCGGGTGTGACATGTAACACTCCTCGCTTTCACCATTATTTTTGCAAAATGCACACTCCTGTGAATAACAAAAACAATGTACAGCAACACAATAAGCAATAGGTAATTAACTACTGTAATCAAAAACAGTTACGTAAAGCTGACGTCTGGGCTTTTAAAATACCTTTGCGCTGTATGACTGGTTAATTTTTCTACTAAATATCAAATTGGTTGCATCGTATTGTTGGTGAAAAACGTTCTTATGCATGACAATACCTTTCATTAAACAATAAAAATGCTGCCTAGAAAAAAACATGTACTAACAGTTGGTAACCGTTTGGTGCGCTTGCCGGTCTTTGCCTTCAATATGCCCTGCAGGAACTCGTAGAGCACGCTCGGCCGCATCGCGCCCAGCACTGCCAGTTGTTCCGGGTTCAGTAACGAGATGTACATGTGTGCAGACTTCATACCTAATAAATAGGCATTGTTAAATAAATTCCTTGGTAGCCTCTAGTAACGGGAGTCAATTTTTTCCGAACTTCGTATTTAAAATAAATCCTTTCCTACCACAAAAGTACTTAGTTTTCGTAGTAGTTGCAATTTACAGATAAACGAAATGCTACTTAAAATTAACGATAACGTTAAAAATTAAAAATACAAACTTTTAAGCAAGAAGTCGTAAGCGTCAAAAATGTTTTCGTTTTTAACATTGGGGTCTCCCACTCCGTTGAGGACATCACTGCATATATTCTGCGCACGAGCACTTGCATCTCCGTTGCTATCTAAAAATATTTCAATTGATGCATATTTTGACAATCGCAATTAACAATTAAGAGCGTGTGCAAACCTTTGACTAAACTATCGAACAACTGTTTTGCTATTGTCGATTGTTTTGCAGTCAATTGTTTAGTTGCACAATTAAAAATGGAGTAGTGCTCACCTCCATATAAGCACATATGAATCAAAGCGAAACTAAACAATTGTGCGATAATTTAGTCAAAGGTGTGCGCGAGCTCTAATTGTTTGAATTAGAACATAAAAGATTAAAACAAGTACAGAAATCTTTCTGCTTACTCATCTGATAGTTGTGATTCCTGGAAGCGATGTCATCAAATAACGCGTCAGAATTATTTGACGGCGCATTGAACATTGGTTGTGAAAAATTCCTTGGTCCTAATAGTTAGACAAATGTCAGTTTTACTACCGTTAAACTTTAATTAAAACCGATTCTTCAAAACAAGGAGAGGGCTATGTTTTATACCTGTTAAAATAGAATTTTGAACTGGATTCTGGCGGAGATTGTTCAAACGACTCTCAAATGGCGGTGCCAGAGGCGAAAACACACTGTTATGGATCGCATCCTCTTCGTCTGATCCTAGCAGATTTTGCTGGAATATAAATTAAAAAAAAACATAAGTGTCTTAATTAATTATGCCGTAAATAAATATAAAAAACGTCCTCGTGTCTAGTTGATTCTATCGAATAAGATTCATAAACGGTTGGCGAACGGAGAAAAATACTTTGGAATATTGAATGGTTTTAATAAAACAAATATAAACAAAATCATTAACAAATTCTTATCACGAAGTGCCAATTTACGAGTTCAGATACTTCGAGGTTAAATTAATTCAAAATATTAACTATATTTATTTAATTAAAATAAATAAACAAGACTTACGTTCATCGTAGTTGATGTGACCGTTGAGTCGTTATTCATTTCACAAACCAAATGTGTAACTGCACTCATTATAAAAAGTAACTATAATGTTTGAATTTAATTCAATTCAAATCGCTTTATAACTCTCAAATAAAATGATCGATTGTGTTCGGTAACAGTGAATTTATACCAAATGCGTAGTATCTATATATCTATACAAGTAATTAGGTAATGACAGTTGTTTGTGTCTTAGTATCGATCTACCCTCAAATTTTAAAAATCGAATATTCGAGGAATTGTTTTTTATTTAACTAATGTTTGTCAATTGCGGCGAGATATCGATTTCTTTAATGTAGTTACTCGTTATTATAAGAAAGTAACACTTTTAATTTTTAAATGATCAATTTGATGATATATTAGTGTTGACAGATTTGTTAACTATTTTAATTTGATTTGACATTTATACCTTTATTATTTATTGATTTCTATACTAAATATATCAATACTAGTATTATAAAGGGGAAAGATTTGTATTTTAGGATTTTTGAATAACTGTAACTCAAAAACTACTGGGCCGATTTCAAAAATTCTTTCACCATTAAAAAGCTGTGTTATCGCTGAATAACATAGGCTATGTTTTTTTAAATTCATGTGAAGGAAGTCGCGAGAAATAGTAAATAATAAAATAAGTTTAAGTAAACTACATGGCTATATATGAATAAAACACAATTATTACTATTACCTATTTTATTTATTAAGACAAATACCAGCTTGTAATTTTAAATCTATTATACATTTATTATGACGCAATGATTACTAAAACTAGCCGCTTAACATAAAAATATTCATAAATAAAATAAAAGTGACTGAAATGCATATTTTTCAATTACGAAAAATAAAAGATTAAAAATGACATGCACAATGGCACATCGATTACAATCTAATAAGTACTTTTAAGTTTATGTCCTTATCTATTGTACGTAATAAATATGTACAAAATATAACGTAATTAAGGAAAACATTATCAATCTAAGGCGGAAATAGTACGACTAAAAAAATTGCGCATCTGCCGAAAAACTTTGCCTATTGGTAAATCCAAAAAAATGGTATACGAAATTAGGACCATTATGTGATTTAAAAATATACGAAGTAAAGGCTAATAAAAAGACTTTCCAAACACAAACCGATGCTTTTATTTAATTAAATGATCTCTATAAATGGATATGTTCGTTTGTTACACAATGCTTCTATTGATGTTAAAGTTCTGTTCTGTTCAATCCTGGCCACCAACTGATACTGTCAGCGCCAAAATGAAAACGAAATACCCTGTCCATTTATAGAGGTCGGTGATTTATTTTATTTGCATTTGTTAAGGCGGCTTTATTGTCATACACATAATATTTTCGTCTTTTTAAATTGTCAAAAAGACTTAGTAAGTGAAGACCTATGAATAGTCAATGTTCAAATAATCCATTAATAATTTTGAAATCGACGTTAAGAATTAGTATGCATGGTTTAATTTATCCAAATAGTTAAGACAATCAGCAAACAAAATGTAATGAAGGCTATTCTGCCGAATTATAAAAAGTAATGAGCAACACGCGAGGTTTGGTTACAACTAATCCTTATCCACAATAATACAAGTGGTAACATGATATTGTTATTCATGCCGCTCAATTCTGCCAACCCAAATCACAATAGCTTGACAATGTTGATTTAGTACCGATTATGACACTCATAATAAATTGTTACGCTAATCAACGCATCTGAAGAGCACCATCTTTTTAGACACCTCAAAAAATGTAACTCTTATTTCGATGTGTTGGTGTGACATTTTTAAAATGGCAGAATTAAGTGCGTGACAGTTACGTTGGTGTACGCTTATCCCCCTGTCCGTGTGTCCTGTGCGCGCTAGCTCTCCATCTTATCTTCTTTTGGGTTGGTCGGCCGGCAGCGGTGGATGAAAGCGTTCAGATTTTCATCGTCTTCGTAATATTGACACTCCGTGCCGACGTTACAGGTGCAACTGGAAGATGAATTATATTTTAGCCTAGTTTAATATAGGAAACGATTACGCTACTTGTTGGAGCCGTATATGAGAAGTCGAAAGGCGTTGCCAGTTGATCAAGGTGGGACAGGCGGGGCTAACCCATGATCAAAGATGGTTAGCCAGTGAGCAATGGAGGGGGCTAGTAGTAAAAATATTTCTTCATATTTCAAAGAGAATGCTTATCCCCGTGCAGTCTAAGTTTTTTAAGCAAATCTGACAAAGATCCAACAATAAATAATGGTAGTTATGCAGTGTAAGTCTATTTGTCCTAGACTGGCACAGGTAGATTTTAAAACCCTCTTTCATAATTTAACCCTTATTTGCAAAACACAGAGTGGAATCTTGCAACCTAACAAAATCTATCATAAACTGTTTGACGTTTCACGCGTCAGCCTAGGAAATCCTAGCTTGTGCTGATATTTTCAAAGAGGATCCTAAAATCCAATTAAGGAATGTAAAATAAATTTACTCAGTAAATTATGAATGAATTGCCCATCAAAGTAGTTTGATGGACGTTATGTAGGTCGCGGTGTCAGGGGCTCATTATATCTTCGATGGTGATAACGACGATTGGTCAAGAGAAATATTTACGCATTACTATCGAGACTACTGCGTCATATTTACATCGCTTTGAACCTTTCTTTATATACATTTTATCGTTGCAACTTTTATAACAAGCAATCACGCTCACGGCTATCGAGAGCGGTCAGAGATCACAGATTCATATTTACGTTACGTTGTTTTAATGATAATAATCACAAATCATAAATAACTATGCATTTGCTAAGCATCTCCTAGAAAGAGATGCATGGATTGCGTGAACGGTGACATGATGAAGAAAGGAGTGATGACTGAGATGACGGATGATAGAGTTAGTTACAGTTACAGTTAGTACGTGAGTATGATAATGTAGGGGATGATGATTTGCTAAGCTTAATTAAGAGATAAAGTGTTAGTTAAAATAATGTATGTTTAATTGCAACACTTACTACGTGTTTATAATATTGGTGTCGATGATCTTCTGCTTGGTGACGTATATATACCAAGCGCAGGGCGTCTCCGGCTTGCAGACCTCCAGCGTGGCGGAGGTACTCGCGGTTGCGCCTTCATCAGCTGTGGAACTCGCACTCGCCATCGTATGTTGCAACTCATCCTCCAAGTTCACTGCCCGCTGTGAATTAAACAATTATTTGTAACACACTAATAGTTTTCCCGCAGCTTTGCATTTACTTGTTTTCCTAGAATTGATGATATTTTCATATCAATCGTTCTATGAAATAAGAGTGATATTTGAATAAGTTGATTTAGGCAGGTATATACTTGCTTGACGCTTCGGATAAGGTGACCCGTAATTTATAAGTTATAGTGGTTTTTTCTAGTAGTAATACAAATGTAGCCTTAATACGCGTTCACCCGAGGTTTTTACATCATTTATAGTAAGCAATTTAAGATAAATAATATCATAGAGGACAAATAGACTCCGATAGACTCAGAGTTCAAGCGTCGTTACGTCAATGCCTCGCAGCTATTGTTTTACTATTACAATTTTATGTGAACAATAAAACGTTGTAGTTACGATAATTTACTACAAAGTTGTTATCGCCAATTAAAATGTGACCTAATCGTTGTTAATGATAGTAAAAAAATATATTACGCAACATTATAAAGGAGCTTTCATGTCTATTTTAAACTAAGCGGTTTAAATTTACTAATATATAACTAGTTGCATCCGCTTTTCACCTAACTTATATGAAGTAATTGTGAAATAAACGTAAAACAAATTTTATTTAATAAAAATTTATTTGAAAACAGATTCTCTTGCTTACAAATCTGCTAACATTTTGGGCTTTGTATGGTGCTTTATTTGAGCTACGGGTTTAAACTACTATGGGTCACAAGTGAGTATGCGATAAAAATCGACTTAGTGTTTATTACATGTCTAATTCGCAACTATTTGTTTTTAGGAGGCATTTACAGATACAAAGGTCTTCAGGTAACCGAGTGTAGACGCTTAGCCTTGTTTTTTTTCGCTGTTTTACGGGTGTACGTTTGTGGATGTTGACAGCCCTAGGCATACGTGACAGTTATCCCCTCCCCTCCGCGGCTAGGAATTCGATAGTAATGAGTGTCGTACGACATACCGCGCGCCCTTGATTGCGTCCGGCGTCCGGTCTCGCTTCACGCCTTACGTTACGTTACGTTGCCGCCCATTCTGAACATGCGTCACCGTAAACCTGTAAACATCGTTAGTTATAATATCACTAGTGATATTGTAAACTAACAGAAAGTTGTTACTGATTTAATGATTTTTTTCTGTATACTCAAATTTCTTCTTCGTATTTATATCGACTTTAATTCCATTAATTTCTAAGTGTAGACTAAAACTATGTCATTGCATTTTGGACTCGCATAAGTAATAAATAAGGATTCTGTTTGCTGCAATTTTCTGTCAGTTCACAATATCTCTAGTGAGATACCACTAACGATGTTTACAACAAGACGTATCGCAAAATCACGCGCATCACGCGCCAGTCGACAGTAAACAGGAAGCAACGCACCTTCTACGAACACCGGGTCGTTGACCAACATGTTTTTCTCTCACAAAAATACATTGTTCGCTGAGAAAAACATCTAGCCGAGTCAGGGCCACGGGCGTGAGTCACAACAACACTGAGCCGGGACTTAAAGGATCGTTAAATGCATACGAACATCGGAAATAGAAACGTTACGTACTTCTTGTAAAACAGCGTACATTATTGAAATTTCCGTGAACTAAACTTTCAAAATAACCATGTCATTGGGCCTCCTCTTTGGAATAAGATTTTATGGAAGTGTTTCGGCTGTCGAAATTCAATGTGCTCAGTTATATTTTAATTAATGTAATAATATACAACAACCAGTTTTGCTAAAAACAAAATAATCAACATCACATTACTTTGTGTGTTTTTTAATATGTAACTGATCATGGTTTTCTTGCAAAAATTAAAGTTAAATTTAATCTTTACAACGGCTCCCTGTTTAATACGACACGTTGTGAAAAATACAACTAGTATCACACAAGTATCACTGGACTTAAAGAAATGTTAGGGCGGGGCATACCATCGCGCTTTTCTCCACCCGCAGTGGACCTAACTGACCACATAGGTGAAGATTAGACGCTACGAAGGTCCAATTTTTAACTGCATCATAAGGGGATGTTCATAAATACGAAACGTTAACTCCAATTAATCCTTAAACCTTTTCTACCTGCTTTTAAATAATCTTCTGACGTGCTTTTGATCTCTATCATAGAGAATTTTCTAGTAATAATTTATTTATGTTATAACGTAACAGAAGTTACTTTTTTTATTTGTAGGGTTTATGTAGTGTATGGTGCTTTCCTAAGTTAGTTAGGTTAGTGTCCACGTGATTTTTAAATTCATCAATTATTATTATTATTAATTGAAATTATGACAAAAGTTATGTTCAGATTACTAAGCACAATCTTTCAAAGTGAACTTTGAACGTTACTTTTCGTAGATGCTTTTAAGTTGAAGTTACAGATGTTGGATTTCGATGGATTTTATAACATTAGGTACAGAAAGAAGAATTGAAATTTTAAGTTATAAATATGTTAGCTAACTTATCTGTACCTATATGTAATTAATTCGTGTTCTTCATACTTTAGGTATTAATTAAGTACTCTTCAGTAAAATCAAATAACAAATGAGATAAAGTCTTACTTTTATTAATAACGTTTTATATAATAAAAACTTTATTGAATTAAAATTTTCGATAATAATATACAAAATTTATTTAAGGTTAAAAAGTAAGAACTAGTGGTTGATAAATATAAATGAAATTGGTAAATAATAATACACAATTAGTTTTATGACAGACATCCTGCGGGATTTTGTATATAATCGTAACTGTATATATTTTAAGCTCAACGTTTACGTGACTATTGGCATTTCCACACATTGAAAGAATTTTCGGGCAGTTTTCATCAAAACATCATTCGATCTCAACGTAACATGTTTGTTGAAGTTTTTTATAGTAATTATGGCTTCCACTTACTTCTTATATTTATAAACAATATTTTTTATAATGACAATGACCTTTGTACTAATAGTTTTCGCACAAATGTCGACGAATTTTCTACTGATTTGAAATATTTTTCGTACATCTCTATATTTATGAATTATTAATTAATCATCATCGAATAATTCCTATATTTTTTTTTTATCTTAGATATAACAAATTTGCTGTCCAAAGTATATACGTAGTAAAAATTCGAGAAAAATATCAGATTTTTCAACTCCTTGTTAACTATTAAGTTTTTCGTAATTTAAAGTATTTAAAAAATAACTTACCCTTAGTTTAGGCACCATAGCTACGGTGAATGTGACAGCAGCCAACAAAATAATTAATTGTGGTTTCATATTTGATATACGGGAGTACTATGTACTAGGGTTGAAGTTGCAAAAAAATAAATCGGAACGCGCGTTCGCTTCGACGTCCGACGGAGCGGTAACGAGTGACAACGCGGCGGCTCGACGCGGTTTTATGTACCACTGACTATATTATGCTTCCCCGCCTTCCCCGCGCCGAACACGTGAATACAAAGTACCACACCGGCCCTAACCGAAACTACGACGTACTACGTTTATCTAAAAGATTCGATGTGTAGATGAATGAATGAATATGATCGACTTGATCCTTACGTGATCAATTAATACGAGAATGTTGTTTTTGTTATTATTGCACGTTACGATACTCGGAGCAGCTTAATGTAAACGAATTACGATAACGTATTTGTATTAATGTAAATAACAAAACTACATCATCAATGTATATTGTTATCATTTTTTTTCTTCAATTGTAAATTTCTTTACGTATCTGTTCATAGTAGGTTTATCAAATAAAGAATATTAAAGTTCAATAACACAATCATACGATAGTACCAATACCAAGTTAAATTATTGTGTAAAGTAATAAATTATCTTAACAGATATTTTTTGGGGCCTCTCATGAAAATGACTGACGAAATCGAATTCAGTTTTCCTAAGAAAAAGATGTCGAAACGAAATTTTTGAACAAAAAACTAATTTGTAAGTCATTACATTACGAACGGCTAAGGAAGCTTTTCAGGGTAAAAGTTTTCAACGGTATTTGAGAATAATAAGCTATATTTATAACATCTAAACTAAACGAATTAAAAGAATTATTCTATAGAAAAGCCTTAATTTTCTTCATAATTTGCATTTTGGATAATTATCCGAAGTTAACCTGGTGCGAGGTAATATTTTTTTTAATACTATAAGGTGGCAAATGAGTAAGCGGCCATTATTTGCAAGTATAAAATGTTCAATATGTCATAATAGAGTTAACAGTAATAATAGATGCAAACGTACGGTCATGAGAATGGCTGGGGTGAGACACACCCGTCGGCCCGTCAAGTCGTCAAGGCGTCGTCACGGCGTCGTCACGTCACGGCGAGCCTTACGACGCGCGCTCGCGAGTTGCATCATCCTTTTATTCCGACCGAGTAATAAAACAGACACTTTTATGCCAACCCTCTTTCCATTTTCATTTCAGTCTGCACCGCAATATAAAACTATGTTACTTTTTAAATTAAAATTCTTATTCCAAATGTTCTCTAGTTAAATACAGTATTATTTTTCTTGTAGAAACTACGGTTTTCAAGTATTCAGCAAGCGAAAATATAACAATCCGAATAGTTATTTCTACTAAGAATGCTTTTTTAAATGTGACTAGGTGTAGCTCGCGACTTACCCACCTGCAATTAAAAAAAAACATAACCTATGTTAATCATTGATAACTGTTTAATGGTGGATTTAATAAAGATATAGAATTCGTACAATTATTTACTTCGACTAACCACGGTAGATGCGTCCACAGTAGGTCATCCAACCTTTCCAACATCTTGTACAATCGAGTCACTTCCAGTTCTCTTGACGGAAGAACACATTATATTAAGCATGTATGATCGGTGTCGTGAGAAATATTCACTACAATCTTTTACACACTGTCTGAATTTAAAATTGAAGACCAATAATAATTTTACGAACACTTTTTATATAAGTAGTTGATGAATTTCTGTCTTTTTACCATTTTATAAGGCAATTAATACAACAATGAGACATAAGTAACGATATATTATAAACTAGCTTTCCCCGCGACTTCGTCCGCTCGGAAATTAAAAAAAAAAGTTAGTAAGTAGTCTATGTGTTCTTCCAGATTATGTTTTATCTATGCTATCATCGAGATCCGTTTAATAAAACGGAGAAACAAGCCTTCATTGATCCATATTTTCATATTTATAATAATAGTATGCAGTAAAATGATATGATATACGAATGTGTTTTTTTCAGGTTTTTGGTTAAACTTGAGGAAGTCACTACTTACCCTTACATACATAGAAAGCAACCTATGCAATTGCTAACCTAGAAAATGTCAAAAGCAAATTAGTATACGCAAAATTTGCAAATTTTATAATATGTACTAATCCTTACATATAAATTAATTATTACTATTACATAGTTATATCACGTTATCAAACAAACTTTAAACTACGCATTAGTTAAAAGGTCTATGATCTACGCGAGGAAATTTTTAAACACATTGTCAGTCACGTTACACCGCTATCGGTATGAATCACAAGGTTTTGACACCATTTCTGTGAACCCTGCGATAAGCATTCGGCTTTCATTAAGATAAATTCATTCAAAGAAATTGACCTGCATTATTACTGCACCAACATAACTTACGCTGCATTTTAATTACATATGTTCTTTTCCTTATTGCCTCATTGATTAACGAAAGAGAAAATGAATAGAAAAAAATATCAATAATTACTCAGGAGTGTTGGTACATCACTGTTTTTTCTAATTTTGGAGTCGATTAGATTGTTGGCCTTATACATCCAATAGTCTATGAATCGATTCTAGTATCCCGCCTCGACTTTACTCGAGTAATATAACTGAATTTGTTTAAACTTTCGTGACACATTATCGAAAACTAATTAAAAATATAACCTATGTTACAAGGTACAATACAAAGGTATAAATGACCTTTGCTGAGGTGTTAAAAATATATTTAATAACATGACCCTTTTAATCAAAATAAAGCAGTGTTTTTTATGTGTTTGTACTTTATTTGATAACGTTACAGTACGATATCAATTATTAATTCCACGGCGTAATAAGATGTAACGTAATATGTTTTATTCAAACTAATACGCTAATAAGTCCAAAGTATACGTGTTATGTATATGTAAACAGCTCCAGCCGAATAAACACATTTTACGTTGTTAGAAAAACAAAAATATATCAAATAATATAATGTCGACCTTTTGAACTAGAGGTTAGTAGACTGGCTATTACGGCTGGAATTATGGTTTCCAACTTCAACTATCGGGTTTTGTTTTCGAGAATATTCTGTCCCTAGGTTATTTACACTTAAAATTGACTAAATACCTATTTATAGTTAAATAGACATGATGCCATTAACGAAATTCCGAAAATTCCGAAAAATATAGTATACGTTTTAGGTTAGGGACATTTCACTTGCTAAGAGAAAGAAGATATGTGTAAGTTCTCGAAACGTTCCAAGACATTGTCGAATCTTTAATAAATTCTCATTAGCAATGAATTAAGGATATTTAAGCGGCGAAATAAAGACGTCTGGGACGAGACCTTGATACAGTGACTGCTATGGAAAATGTACCGGAGGGAGGTCTATTCCGGGAATAGCGCGGCCGCCAGCGGGCTTAATGGAGTGCATTGAAGTGCATAACGCAACCGTACACATAATTACAACAACTCTATAAATATCAAAGTCAGTAAAAACGTCCTAAAGCAGAGCAAGCGGTCGAGGGGCACAAGGTATGTTGTTGACGCACGTACAAAACTGTACCTCCCGACGGTTCTGAGTATCGGACGACGCAATATTTCGAAATAGTCTAATCAGCGAACTGTATTATACTTAGATTTCAAAGAAAACCATCGTTAAATTACGCGCAATACGAATGCTTACATCGTATTTTCAGCGAATATAGTGAGGCGAATGTTATGTTAACATCGACATCATAATAAATATTGCATTTGAGTACAATCACCCGAGAGCTGTTATTATTGTAAATAGTTATTGTTTATCATTGAGTAGAAATTCGGATGTTTGGAAAAACAGTGCACACTATATTGTGTATATTCCATGATTTTACCCAGTTTTTTAGTACTAAGCTTCGATCATATTTCTAGACATAGTTGAGGCATTTGTATGTTTCTTTGTTAACCATGGTGAAATCCTCGCAGACCAAAGATTTGGTGACCATAGCGCATTTCATTCTTTACAAATCACACGTGTAAATATCGTTTCATTCATAAATTAAATATCTTTTTGAATACTTTTAAGAATTTAATAAATAGCTCACATATAAACAAGGTTTATTTCGAATGTGTCCACCCGCCGGGGGTTCTAAAGGGCCTGGATTTGTGCCAGATATCGTTTTGATGTCTGCGTCAGTCGCTGATCGCACCCAAACAAACCGGAGTTGGTGCAATAAATATGTTGTCGTGGGGCGCGCTTCGGGATCGCCAAGACGCTAAAGCTGCAGATTTATCTCCCTGTCTGAACGCCCGTCTACGGTTTTGGTGTGACTCAGATCGAAGCTTCTGCGCTGGCGCAAGTCTTATGAACTTATATGCCTACATTTGGTTCCGAAAGATGGGTTTGACAGATTTTGTTTGTCAAGGAATTCAAGTAGAGAATAGAAAACATGCTAGCAACAAATAGAGTTAATTTGTTGTACATTGCATTGTTTACATTTTATTAGTGGCATATCTACGCTTTCCTGTGACTGAAACTACAATCTAATACCTACAAGTGACAAATGAATTACTATTTTAGTCGTTCTAAAATAAATCACGGAGATCTAAACATTTACAAACATCAGAAACTAAATTAGTCATCCATAGTAGTTCGTTAGCGCGCGAACTTTTACGACGCATTCGAGTCGAATGCGGGTACTCGTAAAACGGTTCTCAATTGTCGTACGACGCTAAGTAACTAATAAACATGACGTCATGTGGTTTTATTAACGGCAAATGTAGCGCATGCACACTAGTGAATACTGGCATTACATTACACATGCAAATGGCATGAGAACGTAATTATCTATGGTAATTGTACTATCATTCAGTTTATTTCGTTTGACAATAAGGGTTGGTTCCCACTGTTGACACATTTGAACGAAACTTATTAACAATAAGGGATATTTTAAAAGGCATCACCGAACATTTAGGATGTTTCGCGTAGGGCCGATTGTTCTACTGATGAATCAGGATTCAGATGCAAAACAATTATTTTTCTTATTGATAATCTTCGTATACGTAGAGTAACAACTAGAAACATAGAATGGGCGACCACTAGTAGTAATAATTTTGTAAACGTTATAATTGTCTTATCTATATTTTAGACAAGTTAATTCTAAGAAGGGAGATAACTAATGTTATGTATAACTAGTTGACGTTATTGAAAATTAA